TGCCTAATGCAGCGGTGGTCACTCCAGGTGTTTTGGAACTGAGACAAATTGAGTTAGGACGTGTTCACATGTGGGCGAATCAGGGTTGATTCATGCGAATTGGACTCTGAATTGGACCGAATCGGAATTGGGGTCCGGGGGGGCCTCTTCGGGTATGATTCGACGTGATTCACAGTTTTCTTTCTCAAAACAAAGTTGTTTAACAAACCGTTTCTCATAATTACCATTACAATACTATAGGAACATTTTCCAATTGTTAATTCACGCAAAGCGCACCGAGCATTTTTCACGAACTCCTGCAGCTATGTATGTACAAGCCTGGTGATAATTTTCGCCATAGAAACGATACTTATACTGTTCTGTTCCTAGATAATGCTGGCTTGCCTTGGGTGATGGGGCGTAGCCGCGGAGCTTCAGCTGGGCGCGGTGGCACCTCGCGCGGTGGCCGCAACGTATGTGAACACAATTCAGAAAGCCGCCCCGAATCGGACTCCCAATCAGACTCTCAATTGGACTACATGTGAACACACCCTTACATAACGGAAATTTAAGCAAGTTCATAATCAGGAGTGGTACCAGCGCGATAACTGGCCGGTTCCTAATTTTTCGCATCGGTTGTCTCATGACTCAAATTACGAAAAATTACGAAGGATGACTACGTCGTACTTTATCGCCTCAGTTTCGGCGCGTGAGATTGCCGCGGCCCTGCATACAGCAACATCGAGGCTAATGGAACGTGTGATACTTGCAAGAATGGAACGTATGAATGGGTCCCTCTTATCGCACCTCCTATCAGGCAAAGCAGGAAAAGGAGGTTGTCGATCTTGAAGCCCGCGCCTTGTCGCCAAAAGGCAGCCTCGTTAGCCCTAGCTTGCCTCATGCTTCAAGTTTTAGGCGTCGCAGGTCGCACAGCAGGCGAGCTTTGAAATGGATTACCGCGGGCGTGTTCATTCTATGCCTGGTCGGATGTATCCTGCGCATCAGCTCGCATGTAAATGTATTGCACTCTCAGCAACTGGACTATGAGCCCATTGATGTGGTGGCAGTTTCCCTGAAGCCCAGCTGCGTAACGCGGGAGGCGATCACCTCTCTGAACCGCTACCTACAGCCCCGCGCCATTCACATTATCACAACCAGCAGTGTCAAGTGCAGCATTTTCTCCTTGTTTGCGGACAACGTCGTTTGCCACCTGCAGGATAAATTCCTAGACGGTGTCACCGTTGACCGTGTCGGTGACTTCTTGCAGCGCCGGCTTGGCCTTGACCAACATAAGCGATTTAAAGGCCGGGATATGTCTGGCTGGTATATGCAGCAATTCCTCAAGCTGGGCTCTGTGCTGGCGCTCCCAGGCCTGACCATTTACTACGTGGTATGGGACCTCGATATGATCCTGCTGTCCCCAGTGCAGCTAGTGTGGCGTGACCGGGAACTGCCTGGGGGCGGCCTCGTTGATATGTCCGCCTCCGCCGGGCAGACCCAGACGCTCGTCAACATAGGTGGCTCCGTGGCCCCCGGCTACATGGCCAGCTTTCAGCGACTCACGAAGCATGGCCTAGAGTTTGCACCCGACGGCACGTCTTTTGTGACACACTGGATGGTCATTTACAAACCCTACCTTCTGGAGTTTCTCCGGGAGCTGTCTAACGACGGTGATGGGCCAACGGACTGGGTGTGGCGCATCCTAGGGGCCGTGGAACCCCGTTATGCCGATTTGGGTTTTAGCGAATACGCGTCCTACATCAGCTGGGTACGGCAGCACTACCCCCAGTCCCAACGCCTGGCTTCGCGCAAGACGTGGGTGCGGCATCCCTTTGGACAGAGGACTCTGAGTCTTCTGCGACTGCTGCGTACCGATCGCTGTTGCTGCCCCAACGGCCTGTTGCTATGGTTGCTGCGATTGCTGGGATTCGTGTACACTGGCTACGAGGTTGGGCATATTCCGGAGTGCCGCTATGATGCATCCGAGCACGCCATGTCGTACGGACTGTAGCAATGTGACGTTCTTCAGCAGATCTGCGGTGCGGGCTGTGGCGCACACGACCTCTGGTCCTTTGGCCTTAGGGTTCCGGCCCTTAATACGCAGGAGTTCGCAGCGAGTTCGACATGCTTTGTGGAACATTGTCCACAGCAACCGATTGGCAACGGGCGCTATTGGGTCGCCGGTGCTCAGGACAGGAGCATGTATGAATGCATGGAAAGAAGGTGCTGTAATGGTGACGCAAGCGTTGTTGGACAGATCGTGCGGAGGTTGCTGTGCGGTGCTGTACGCCTACCAATCCTGGGGCCCTGACGTAGTCGGAATCGGCGGGGCTGCAAACGGCGGAGGCGAGTCTCCAATTTTGTGCTCCGTTATCTGCCTGTGTGTTTTACACTCAACATAAGGAGTAAAGGGTCGCAGGTACACGCCAAGGATGTACGGTGATAGCCAGGCCCTGACACATGGAACCAAATGACATTTTTACCTGATAATGTTGTGTGTACGGAGGTTTTGCTCTTTGGTCCTGTTGAGGTGCATGATAATGTTAGGGGATAGGGAGGCATGAATTGTTGCATGAGTTGTGTAACCATGGATAGGCTGCGTGGCAGTCACCACCAGTTGAATGCAACTTATTGCTAGGTTTACGGAAAAAACATCTTCTTCCCTGTTCATGTATTCTCTGTTGCGTTTTTGTTGTACTTGTCAACCTTGTTGGCCCATGAAGGTCAAGGTGCTGTACCTGACTGGGCGGACTACCCGGAGTGTAATCGTGCGCGGGTTATTGCTGCTTTCTTTATTATCATCTCTGTCTCGTTCCGAGGCTTCGCTTGCGTTCTAAAACGACGAGCTGGAACTTGCAGGATTGACAAGGTGCATTCGTGGTTTTACTTACCTTGAACATGTGCTGGCATTACGCCAAATGTCCCTTCATGTGTAGCAGCAACAGTTTGTAGTCAATATCTGTGTGTGCCTAATGTTGATCGTCCGGCACGAGTTACGATAACAGTTTGGGGATTTTGCTATTAAACAGGCTGCACCTCCCGTAATGGCAGTGCTGGTCATGCAACTGCAGCGCATGTATGTGTTCGGCCAGGGATACGCTCTGCCGTCGAGGCACGATCCCCGTCCGTATGTAGAAGGTGCAAGTTCCAATAAATGCCAAGGAATTCGTGGTGTCAAGCATTGGACGTCTTTCGTCTTGGGCGGAATGCGATTCACGCCTCAGGATGTGATCCAGCCTACCGTTTCTCCGCACAGGATTGCGCGGTTTTGAGCCAGGACTTGCATGGGAATTGACTATGCATCGTGCGGCCCAGGATGCATGTAGTAACAGAGTGTCGGACTGGCCGGAAGTGCTTGCAGGGGGACATTAGGACGGTTGCGTGATTGTAGTACAAAGGTAGTAACGGAGTCGCTGTAGGCAGGGCGGGCCTGTGGCCTCTGTCAACTGGGTTAGCACAACACAGGGTTCTAGGATCGGAGGAGGGTGGTGACGTTTCTTGTCGTTATTGTTTTGAGCCGTGCGATGCGGTTTCACCGACAACTGCGCATTAAAGGATGGGAACGAGCTGGTTCGCGGTGCCTCTATTAGCAAAGCATGGTGCGCGCCAACCGGCTGGTCATAAGGGGCAGCCAATGCCGCCCCAGCGCTGGGGGAAGACCGCACTCCTTGACCTTTGCATTATCCATGACCACGGTTACAGCGCGCCGTGGGCCTTGCGCTCGGTCCTGTTGGCTTCCCAACACCCTGTCCATCTACTCTAGTCACATATTAACTAGTCATGTAGTAAGGGCGTTGGTGTCTAGGACTGTTCCTGCTATACAAGTAGACGGGATTCCTGTGGAAATGAAAATTATTGGCGTGGCTTCTATCGCAGACAAGAGGAAATGGCTGGCATGTCAAATGGATACGGGCCGTTCCAGGCGGTGGTAGTCAAGTGTACGTGAAACTTTTGTCCTTAAACAAGGACAAAAATACATTGCTTTTCGGGGAAAGATGGCACTGCAGATGTCAGTGCAAAGGGTTTTAACCCTTAGTGGTATTTGCCTGTCTCATGCATGCGCCATACAGGGATAGTTTGATGCGTAGTTCTAGGTGCTCTCGTTCTTGGTGATTTCTTCCTAACTTCTGACGCACATGTATGTGGGCGACTCCTAACTCTATCGTAAGGTGCAATGGGAAGCCCTTTGGAATGGTTCTGACAGAGGTTTGGGCCGAAAACGCCATGATTGCTTCTCCTGCAGTTCATGCGTTGGAAGGCTTATGCCATCATGCAGGGGGTAATGTAGAAGCGTCTTTAGCGTAAAATACTGTCCTATGACTGGGAAGACCAAACTAAGCAGTAGTAAAGTCGGTCGTTACAGGTCATTATAGGTCGGTCGTACCCTCTACTGCAGAATGTCGCTCACTCGGCCAGAGGTCCTATCGCATTCCCAAGTATGCCTGGGACCAAGCAATAAGCCCGAACGTGTTCCAACCAGGTGCCACAGCAAGTCTCGTAACCAGCAGCATACTCAAAAATGGACCCTGTCGCCTACTGTAATCTGCCTTTTTTTTTCCGCCCCTGTGCAGCACATTCCATACCATGGACCTCGGGCCCCCTACTCACATACATTCCCTTCCCTTAGAACTTAAGGCTCCTGGAACTCTAATGCTACGCATTTCGCCCAGGCAAAGAGATGGACTGATCCCAGCTTGGCAGGGGCAGCGGCAAACAGGGGTATGGACTGTGGACCCGAAAACGAAATATACTGGCGGCACCGGTCATCCTGCATTGGTACACGCGGCAACTCCGGCACGCTGCTTGCAATACCTGACCCATTGTGAACATCGCCTATCCTTTCTATCCGGCCCCGGCCCCAGGAACTAACCTGCAAGAAAGTAACTTCCGTCCTATTCTCGCACGAAGCCAACACCTCCCTTTCTGTCATAGGAAAGGGGATAGAATGACTTACTGCTGTGCATCCTGACAGCTTTTCCCATTCACACGGCAGCTCTTTCCTGGCCCCAGTTTGGTTTCCAGTCGTCAATGCTGTACATGTGTCAAGATCCATACACAACGCTGCTGTTGTTGCAACGGCTGACACTCCTGCCAAGAATACACGAACGAACACAACGCGGAAATAGGTAATGTTCCCTTGTAACACTTGATGAAAACAGTAAGGTGGATTACCATGCATACCAAGCACCACTCCATTCCTGAAATCTAATGCCGCTGCCAAACATGGCTCATACCAATCCTGGCAATATCTTGTCCCGCCCCTTCTTCGCCACGCTCGTACGGTATGAATTGTAGAATGCGTGAACAAGATGACCGTCCCGCCGCGACATACGGATGCACAGCCTAAACGTAAGCCCTTCGGAATCCCAGTCCGCGTCCCTGAGCCTCAGCGTCGCCCCACTTCCAGTCCACCCAGGGGATCGAGCAACACCATCGGGGCAGTGCTGACATCCGGAACCCGGACTGCAGCCGGCGCCTGGGTCCCTGTGGTCCTCGCGGGCGGTTCTGCGCTAGTGGTTCCGTACTCCTGCTATTCCTGCGGCTGGAGTGGGGACGGCGGCTGCGGCCCCTGCTCATCGGCCAACCGTTGCACCGGGGCGGCGTCGTCTAGCGACAACGCGCCCACACGACGCAGTACCTCTCCTGCCGAACACGCCTCCGCATCCAGCGCTTCCGCTCCGGTCATCGTCATCGGTAGTGCTGCTCCTGCGACCGGTGTCGATGTCGTCGGCAACGACGGTGCGTCCTGGGCCCCAGTCCCAGTCCGGGCAGCTTCCTCACGTGCTGCAACTGCAGCCTCCCGCGGCTCAACAAGAACCTCGTCAGAGCCAATGACGAGGGAGTCTGCTGCCGCTTCAGACTCCGACGCCGTCGCCAGACCGACCATTGTCCCGTCAGCGAACCCCTCGACCTGTGTGGCGGCATCAACCGCGAGGCTGCTCGTTCCGTCGCTGGCGGCGCTGCTGCTGCTGCTCCGGAGTCCGCTGCTGCTGCTGCTGCTGCCCGGTGCTGGCAGTCTGTATCGCCCTCTACGGATTGGGACTGTGATGTGGAACCTAACGCTGTGGCCGGGGCCGCGGACATCGCTGCAGGTGTAGATGCATACCCACCTTGCTCTCCTGCTGCCGAACGGACGTCGCCATCCAATCTCAAAGGCCGCAGGCGCTTGCTGCCCAAGAAAGGCCCCGGATACGAACAAATCTCATAGCAGCTACAGCTATAACTCATCCCCAGAACGAACGTGAAAGGGATAAAAAGAGATTAAACGAAACCGAGGAAATGCCTGCCGATCAAGACGCGTTGCCTATGTAGCATGCCTCAACTACTTTCTCCGCCTGCTAGTGGCCACTGGTGCTCCGCGAGTACTTAGATAACCTCCTCAGCACAATGCAGAGCACACGGGACGGCGTCTGCGTGATACTGCAACAACGGTGACTCGTTGAAACAACATACAGGTATGCCTACTCCATAAAGTGAAATGGTGCCCGGGCTACTGGAGGGGGAGGAAACGGATACAAGGCAAAACCTTCCCTGCATGGAACTGGCCTGTGACCTGAAACTCGCGAACATGCAGACCAGAGGCAGACCCAGGACGCCGAGACAATAGCAGCAAAAGACCAAGCAGGGGGGGAAGGAAACCTTTTAACATGAGCTGTGTTACTGCCAACCTAGTAAGCCCGCCTGCCCTTGCGCCACAGAAAGCACTATCAACAAGCACAGAATGCCAACTTCCCTTTGACGGCTTCTGATACATCGGCCCCCTGCGATGGGCTGCTGTGGAGCAGCACCATGCAGCCCGCATGCAAATTAAAGACAACCACAATTACTCTCAACCAGCAGGTTATCACGTGCGAGGGTTGGTGGGAAAACGTAGACAGCCCAAAATGGCCCAAGGTGCATGCACGCATTGGCATGAAAATAGAGCCGCACGTAAAAAATCATGTAAACATTTGTTGCGACGTGTTTTACAAGGCCCAGCCGCCCCTGAAGTCCTCCAGTGCACCCTGCACGGATACCCCATGTGCATGGGCGGCAGACGACTTCCTAATAAGAACACATCATGCAACCGACGGCTTACATGTGAACCTCCTTCCGATCGTGCTACTAGGAGGGCCGAACGATATGGAAAAAAACATAAAACCACGAGGAGCCACGTCAACCATGTACAAGTGAAAACGCCTAGCTGCCCGGTGGCTCAGGCACAAGGAACAGAACAAACGAAGTAAGCGAGGGCGATACAGGCCAGCCTGCTAGAACGTCCCAACATAGCCGGCCATGCATTTATTGCCTGGAGTAAAGTGTGCCGGCACAAGCACTGGATGGGGATGCCGAAACACACGTCCGGTTATATTCCCGCCAACTCGTACGCTTCCCTTATGCGTTTCCGTTTGGGGGCTGGAATTTAGGAAATAATAGGCCGGCTGGCCGGCAAAGGGATGAGCGCACTTGTCGGGTCTGCCGCAATGGAGTTGAGGACGAGTTTCACGTGCTTATGGAATGTACGGCGTTCGATGATATCCGCCAGGGGTTCGCCTCGTTGGGTGTATATCTGGTTGACCGCATTCCCATGCCTAAACTCCATGTTATGAGTGCTGATAACCAGCGCGGGCTGGCAAAGTTAGTTCACAACATTTGGGTTCGCCGTACGTATCAGCCTCCTGGCTCGTCTGGGCCTTACGAGCTCTCAAGCTTGTAACTCATCATCATACGTTAATTACCTCTCCTATTTGCACGGTATAATGCATGTTTGCAATGTGTAATGTAGCTTGCTCCACGTTTAGAACTGGTTGACAGTGCTGGCCTTGGTTGGCTGTCTCTCATAGTTCAATTTTCGGAAACTCACCGCATCTTACTACGTTCTTAAACTTTGCGCTGAACCTGAGTGGGAACTGTGCAGCCATGGAAGGCGCTCATCCTTTACTGCTTGACCATGCTGTTAGGGATTGGGTTTTTATTCCTTTAACGCTTGCTATCGTTTTAATGAAGCTCCTAACGCAATATATGCACCAGGTGAGAAACGTCATAGTCGGCATGTTAGCCACAGTGGCGAGGTGACGATCGGGCTAGGAGTGCGTGAAGCCCGGGCTCCCTACTAGACACGACGCAGTGTGTAGCAGCACAAGGCACAACACGGGTTAAGAGTTTTGCTAGGGGTCTGTCGGAACGACACGAGCTGTATTTCTTTTGGTTGCAGCTCTTCAACACGCCGCCACCGAGCAACAAGGAACTCAAAGAAGTCCGCGAAATGCAAGCCGTGGCGCGGGCGGGGCGCCTCCGCGGGTTTGGCCGGTTCGTTCCCGAGACATCCTTTAAAATGCGCAAGGAGTACTTTGCCGGGGTACGTTCACTTGTACCTGCTCTTTCACAGGGTTTAAGAGTAAGATCTGATGTTGGGGCAATCCTTTTTAACCGCTTACCTTGAGTGCATTGATTTATAGAAGCCGAGGGGGAAACCCCATGGCGTGCAGCGCATAGGGTTCATGCACCTGCTGCTATCTGTGTGCGATGGGAAGTAGCAGCTGAAATGGGGTACCCAGGCTTTGTTCTAGCCAAACTGAGTTCCCGTGGGACCACGTGATCCAGCATTCCGCACCTGATTCAATATGCGCATAATCTTTCTCTACCGTAGGAGAAGGGCCTCTTTTCCCAGAAGGCAGTGACTCGATCACCGCAGGTGAGCGTTTGCCTTTCCGGGTATACACAAAAGCAGCATCGTGTGTGCACCCGGTTTGGCCTTTCAAGTTGAATTTTCGGAAGGTAAATGTTCCTGGATTATGGTCGCCGGGACAGGGCGTAGCAGTGGTCAAATCATGTATGCGTGTTCCCATACCTCTTATTAAGCGTTAATGATGCGCAACTGCTCAACGCCGATAGCATGTAACTATAGTCGGCTCGGAGCAGCGTGACATAGGCAGCATTTGGGGTTAGTCTTGCGGACGGCTCACCGAATTTCCTGTCCGGTGTACTACGCCACTGGTGGTCTGCAGGAAGCGATGGCCACCGATCCCAGCATGATGGTGGACATGATGAAGAAGAACCTTACAGGCATGGTGCCACAGGTGGGGTTTGCGCGGGAGTCCGCTTGATGTTTGTTCATGTGGTGCAGGTTGGCATGGATCTACCCTAGCTGTCCACATAACGCCTGTATCTTCATCCCGACGCTATAATATCCTGCAACGTTTGTCATCATGCCTTTGTATCTTTTTATTCTCGCAGTTGGCTATGGGCATGGTGGTTAACTTTTTTTTCCAGGGCTTTGTGATTGGCAAGGTGCCATTTCCGCTCAGCCCACGGTTTAAGCCAATGTTGCAGGTGAGGTCGGCCAAGCGGGCCGAAGACCTGTTAACGCTTAAGACTGGGACGTGCAGGACTTAACCCGTGCATGCTCGTGACGGCTTGGGGAGGAAACTATCCTAAGGCACGCTGCCAATACACCCACTTAAACTTTCCCCGCCACCCCCAGCGTGGAATTGACCTGGCATCTCTGGATGTTTCGTACTTTACGAGTCTGTCGTATTACATCTTGCTGCTATTTGGCCTACGGGGCGCATTTTCATTGGTGTTCAGGTGAGCGTGAGCAGGGTTTTTGACGGATCATCTCATGAGCAGCAACTAAATAGCGAGTAAGAGTCGCAATGATTGTTATTGGGTCTTCGTTCCATTAAAGTCTTGAAGTGGATTATGGGTTCCCATTTGCTCAGTGGGGCTTGGCAGAACACGTCGTGCGCCTCCGATTTGTGCTCAATTGCTTGATCGCTTCACGCTAACGGAATACCGTGCGCTGACCTGCTGCGTCGGGCAGTGCATACACCATCGCTTGACCTTTGGATTGCTTTTATACTATTTTGTGGCCGGCGGTCACCAATGACTGTCCCTTTAGGGAGGACGTTATCGACGAGACTGAGATGATGCGACGCCAGATGAACCCCATGGCAGCCAGTCCCATGGGGGTGGATATGGACGCGATGTTTAAGTCAGAAAAGGCGGCCCTGGCGGCGGTGAGTTGGGAAGCTGTAGGTGTTCGAGGGTTCCAGGGAAAGGCAGGGCATAGGGCGGCAGGGAAACGCGAGCGGGAAGCAGCAGGGGGGTAAGAGGTGTAAGGCTGGCTTCTGGGCGTAGGAACTTTCCATGAAGTTGTTCGTCATGGAGCGAGATGCTGTAAAAGTGGGAAGATGAACTGCCCCGTCTCGAGGCAACACCTGCATCTTTTTCCTCTTCTATCATGAACGTCCAGTGGCAAGGCGTTGCTGGACTATGCCCCTAGCTTGCGCTCATGTGCTTTGTGGTTGCATATGCCTGTGCCAGCCAGGTATAGATCATGGCAAAAAAGTTGGGAAGCATATTTTGCAAGGCAAGGAAACTGCTGGCGTTCAACAGCTGGACAGGCATTGCAATGGTTGCCAGGGCATGCCAGGAAGGGTATTCCCAAATCACGCTGGAATTACCCAAGCGCGCTCCACGGAAATTGGGATTCCACGCATACTTCCATTATTGCTAGGCCCGTCTGTCCCGTATCTGCGGTAGATCATCATACAGATCGTCCTGTTATTACCTGGCAGTTCACTGCCAGCGCCCATCAACGGCGCAGGATGCTCGTCTAAAATGAGCTTTGTTTTGCGATCCGATTCCTTTCGCAAGCAAGGTATTGTTCTTCACGGCTTGCTCCCGGTCCGTCCAGGTGGACTTCGAGTGGGAGCTAGAGAGCGCGGAGGAGCGTGCAGTGGACATCCTTCGCCGTCAGATCAAGGCCAAGAAGCTTTAGCCCCGAGCCAGGTCAACGATTCTATACACATTGGACAGGGGGTTGGTGCCCGCATGCCGCTGCCCGCATGTCGCGAGCGATATAAAGAAGAATTAATAGGGTTTTCCACTGCAATAGGGGAGTGTGAAGCGTCGGCTCAGATTGCAAGCGTCAGCAGGGTCCTTGTTCGACGGTAGTTTTTGCGGGTCGACGGTGTTGAATGGGAAATTGAACGAGTCGAATATGCGGCGTGGACTACGACGGTGACGTGACTACGACGGTGTGCACATGCTGCACACCGCGTTTATTGCTACGTGAAGGTGGCGAACCCACGTTAGGCATACTATGTTCGCTGTCAGTGTGGTACACGTCGGTGTCCCCACTGCAGGGAAGTCGGGGGATATGGTAGGAATTTCAAAACGATCGTTGTGACGGCAATGCGGGTTGCATGGAGCTCGTGAGGAAAAAGAATAGTAAGATATTAACAACCACGCATGAGTTGCTGTGCCATGACACCGTCAAGCGTGCTGCTACCTCTTTAAACCTGGCTGGTCGTTTCAAACTGCTTCCAACCCTGCGACAGTCTGAGCTGTACCTTAGGAGTTGAGTCCTAAGTTAGGAAGCCAGCTGCCGCAGGACCTAAGCTGCACCTTTAGGGTCACGTCACCGGCCTGGTTACTCCTCGGCGGGACTGATTATCAGATTTTAGTGGCAGACCGCAAAGAGACAGAACCAAATGTATAAAATAAATGTCCAAGATCACGCCTTTCCGTCATCGACGCCTAGCATAGCATACCACACCGCACACCATCACGCGACAAGGGACGGACACTCAGGTGATGCTGCAGCCCACGCTAGGTCGTGCAGTCAGGCGGAATATGCTGCAAGCCGAGGCGAAGGGCCAGGGGATCAACATGAGTGGCGGCCGGGAACGTCTAGCCACAATTAGCTTCTAGTTCTTTCATAACCTGAAGCCTTAGGCAATTGTCCTTGCCGTCATACATCGCAAAAAGCCGTAAAGGCATCTAACCGGCCAATAAAAATGCCCCACATCGCACAAATGCCGGAAATTTTGCCATCCGCCAAGCCGCTTCAGTATTTCACGGAACCGTCGCCCTCCGTAATAATATCTTTAAAGGTCGCCCCGCCAGGGATCATCGGTAGCACGTGCTCAATGTGGGGCACCATCACCTGACAATAGGAGAGCGAGCAAGCATGTAAGATTAGCGATTTTTAGTATGTATAGATGCATATTTATAAATATTCAGGGACGGTTTGGCTCCTCATTTCCCCAAACCCTGGCACACGCCAAGCTGCCGCCGGCATACTTCTATTATTACTACGATTATGATCTTTGATAGGCGCCGCAAGGTATGCAGTGAATGCAACTGAATGCCATGCAATAACCTCGTCAAGTGTTACAAACACCATGCGTATATGGAAATAGCCGGCAAGATAAACGACAGCCCCTTTGGTGCCCTCATGCTCTAAAAAGCATCCATTGGACGCGTCATTTAAGCGCGTTAGCACCCTATGGGAAAAGATAGACGGCCAAGACACGTATTATCACACAACCCCTGTCGACGCCTACCCTTTTGATGTCCATCCCTTTCGCCGCACTCACCTCGAGCAAGTACGGCCCTGGCGTATCCAGCATAGTACGGATTGCCCCGCGCAGGTCTTCCTTGCGGATGACACGCATTGACGGCACGCCGAATGACCGAGCCATGCCCACGAAGTTAGGGTAGATATCCTCCTCGTCACCAGTTGCATGCCACTCGGCTTCGCGCTTGCCCAAGTAGGTGTGCGCTCGGTTGGCCTGCCATACAGGTGCCAGACAACTGAATTATTGCGTCCAAGCAGGGCAGATCACCGCAGACGAGATCTGAGCTTAAGAGTGGTGAAGTTGCTCTTGAGCACCTTCGCAAGGCCTCCAAAAGCGACAGCCATACATGGACAAACACGCATTTCCTGCCAGAACCCTACCAAATCTCCATCATTTGTATTTCCTCGAGTTAAGGGTAAGGTAGGCAGCGCAGCCCTCATATTAAGTTCGGACGGGAAAATATACTGAAGAAATGGCTGCACTAGGCAACCTAAAAACAATTATGGAGATACAACAGCGATGCCTAGGTAAAGTCTGTCTAGCAGCACGCAAGCCTTGAACCCTGCAGTAGGCTATGACACCTTCAATGCGCATACAAGCCGGCTTGCCAAGCGCCCTTAGGTTGCCACTTGTGTACCTTGTAGAAGCGGTCCTCCCATTGCACGACCATGCCCAGATGCTGGTTGTTGAGGATCATGACCTTCACGTCGAGCTTTTCGATGAACACAGTGGCCAGCTCCTGCAGTTTGGATACACCATACATCAAGCTATAGTGCTGCAAAGCGACGAAGCATAGCAATTGCCGGTTAGAAGCCTTGTGCACAGCGCGAACTGACATGTACCTTCATCGTCCGAACCCTCGCTGATGCATGAGGCTACTAAAATTCGCCATGCAAATGCTAGCAGCAGGTGCCTCAGCCGCCTATACCTGGACATTCATGAGGAAAGAGCCGTCACCATCGATGTCTACGACGATGCGTTTCTCTCTCCCTTGCTTGCCGTCGAAGGCTACCGCCGCACCCAAGGCCGCTGGCAGACCGAAACCCATGGAGCCCAAGCCACCCGAGGAAATCCACCGGCGCGGCTCCTTGTATGGGTACCACTGCGCTGCCCACATCTGGTGCTGTCCCACGCCAGTGGTGATGATCACTTCGCCCTTTGTCTCCTCACCCAGGACCTGAAAAAACATGGTAAGGAAACGCCGTCAAGCAAGCGCAGTGTGCCCGCATCAAGCTTTGATTTGGAAGTCCAGTTGATGTATCTGTTCATGTCAAGGTGAGATGTTTTTCACATGCAGTTATTAGTTCCGTTGCAATATCCGCAGTGCACTGGCTCCATGTGCTTGCCCGTATGAGAATGGAGCTATGGCGCGCAAAACGACATGGCATCATGGGCACGCAAAGTGGCTTAGCACGCGAAGTCACACTAACACAATTAAGGTTAGCAATTTCTTGTGCACAGACAATGCACAAATGCAGTGGTAGTCATCTGCCGAGGCAATGTGAAAAGATCAAACACATCCGCGCAGGGCATCTCCTGCAAATCACGACACGAACCTGTATAGCGTACTGTGGCACAATGGCGTCATCACGCTGCGGGTAACGCAATGGAAACTCTGCTCGCTTGGCCGCCAGTTCCGCGCGCCAGGCAACGAAACGGTCCGAAAGCGGTTCCGCCTCAAGCATCCGGTTGAGGTGGCGTAAAGCCTGCTTCACGTCGCCGCACACGGGCACGTGTGCGGTCTTGTTCTTGCTGATCTCGGCCGCATCAATATCTGCGGCACAAGGTACAACACTTAACCACAATCCTAGGTATGCTTCCAAGCGCCGTCCACATCACGTCCTCCACATGAGATTGCATAGCCCTTCCCATCCTGTAGCCTGGGTGGCTGAATGGTCCCTGGGACGTTAAGGGTCCCAGAATTTGCAAGAATATCACCCACAAGCCAAGACTGCCACCCACCCACCGACGTGCACAATGCGGGCCCGGGAGGCGAAGGCGTCCAGGCGGCCAGTGACGCGGTCATCGAAGCGCACACCGAGGGCCACCAGCAGATCCGCCTGATCCACCGCGTAGTTTGCCGCCACGGTGCCGTGCATACCCAACATTTGAAGATGCTACGAAGGGACAATGTCGGCAATACTGTCCGGTAACATGCTTTAGTTTTGGCACTCTATATTTGTGTTCAAATTGGTAGCGACTCGGAGGCTGTATGAAGTAGGCAGGCAGGGTAAGCTCGAAATACCGCAACTCTTTTACCATGAGCAGCCCCATATCGGAGCCCCATATCGGAGTTCAGTATCGAGCACTGTCCGCTGGTACAGCACTTGAGAGCATGAACCGTGCCATATGCCTAGCGAGTAAACTTCAATGCAAAGCTAGACTGTCAGCGCATTCTGCCGGATAACACATGCACTAAGAAATGACCTGGTGCATTCCATCCTGTACGGCGCCGGTATGGTAAGGTACACCCTGCACATTAGATAGGTACGCACGTTGGGGTCTTCCGCTGGCACAACCCCCAGGCCCATAAATGTGGACGCCAGCGGGATGCCTGTGCGGGCTGCGAACTCGCGTAGCTCGTCCCGTGCATCTAAGCAACCACCACCATAATAGATTACGGGCTTGGAGGCGGACTGGATGGCACGGAGCACCGGTATCATTTGGGACTCCTCCACAGGTGGTGGAAGGCGGCTGATGTAGCCTGTATGGGGGAGACAAGATCAACATCAAACACCGTGCTTGGTACAAGCAGAACCTCATGGGCAACAAAACAATACATCGTTCCCAACCCACACTATCACAGCTATCGTGCCGCGAGTCTCTAATCAGCACAGGTCAATAGTTCACAAATTTTAGAAAAAGATCCAGACCAGCGCACCGCCTCCTGTTCGCTGAATTGCCACGGCTACCTCTACACTACCACGTCTAAAAGCAGATTGTGAGGTTTTGGAACCGTGTCCGTTTACAGCGTGGGTCTGTGGCACACCAAGTTTGCGAGAGGAGATCGTAGAGGCTCCCTCCAGCCCCGAAGGGGCTGGATGGGGACACTACTTCTCCGTTTTCTGAGTTTTTTGGGGCACGACGTATGGAAAGAGGCCCCGCAAGGGCTACACGAGGTAGCCGAACGCGTGGAGTGGCTGATGAACAGGCCAATGCCGGAAGGTGTGGTTTCGGAGTTCAAGGATCGGTTGATGAGCGGTTGGAAGCATACGCGTTAGATGTCCAGCCAGACGTGTACCCGTCAGACGGCAAGCAACAAGGAATTCACATGGCGAAGTATAAGCATTGGATGGGTCTGGCGGCCTAGCAAGCGGGCAGGAAGGAGGTGCTCCCGCATATCACAATGTTTATCCCGCGTTCAGCAAATCGCAAGCTTATGCATTTTAGGCTTTGCTGTTGGGCATTGGCGGCTAACAGAGCGCGTAAGGGACGGCGTCATATACCTAGGGAAGAGCGAGTATGCCCCTGCTGCGGCACTGATAGCCATATCGAGGATGAGAAGCACATTTTGCTGGACTGTCCGGTGTACGACAAAATCAGATCTGATATGGATTTCCCACGCAACGAGCACATGTAGGACGCTATGAAGTGGGAACCTGAACGCCTGGCAAGGATGCTGGAACGTATATGGTCCCACCGCAACTCTATCGTTCCCTTTGGTCGTTAGTATCTTTCATCACTTGTTTCGTTGGAAGTGCGAGGTAGGATGGTGCTTATAGGCGATCTGGCAGCCCTTGAGCCCTCGGCTCGTATTAGGGTGGTTTGCAGGTACGGGGAACGCACCCACGACCATGTAACAACAACAACAACAAGGAAAATATTGGTTCCTCAATCAAACCAAACATCAATTCTTTCGCATATGGACGCCACACCATATTTCGTCCAACAATGAGCCTTGATAACAAACCTGTGGCCCGCATACGCACCGGTAATTGACATGGGCGAGTCCCAGTCCGGCACAGCCAGCTGCTGCTGAATATCCTTAGGGACGTCGACCAGCACTGGACCGGGCCGGCCAGTGCGCGCCAGGTAAAAGGCCTCCTTGATAACGCTGCGGGCGCGGTGGGGGTGGACCTCCTTAGCTTTGCGTGCTGTTTTCCCTCAACGGCTCCTTTACATATACTCGGTAACGGCGAAAACAGAGCTCCCCAGGGCCGGCTTTGGCATGGAATTCCAGTGGTAAAGAATCTTCCCGAAACGCGGGCGCCATGCTGTTCCTTGGCCTGGTCCTCAGCCGCGAGGCCAGGCAAAAGTAAATGCATGTTTCGCAATCGAATATCCTGCTTGGACTCCCTACATTCACATTTCTCACTCACCGAGGCAGATCCTTAATGTCAAGCACCAGATAGTTATGCTTAGTAATGGCGCGAGTAACCTCCACAATCGGGGTCTCCTGGAAAGCGTCCGTGCCAATCATCCGCCGAGGCACCTGTTTCACGAGCGGTAACCGTATCATTGCAGCTGCAGCCGAACCCTCGGAAATCAAGGCATGCAGTGCAACTCTCGGTATTAACTGTAAGACACCGCGACAATTCGCGAACACAGCTGTATGGCAGGCTAATCGCTCGAAAACCTTCCATCTCCACGTCAGTTGGTCCCACTGCGTGTCTTTGTGAGCGAGGCAGCTACCATGATGGATGATGGCAATTCATATGGAATGCAAGCGTATAAACTCCTTCTGCAGGCAGTTACACTCGTTTCTTTATGGGCGCCAGTCCCTCCCTCCTCTGTCCTTACCTGGCCGGTGATCGCCACAAGTGGAATGCTGTCCATCATGGCATCGGCCAGGCCAGTTACCAGGTTGGTGGCGCCAGGGCCCGAGGTCGCAATGCAGACGCCCACACGGCCGGAAGCCTTGGCGTAACCCTCCGCAGCAAAGATTTCACCCTGCGGTTAGAGGCATACCTCAAACCCGTGGGCAAGATGTCCGTTATCTACAATGACCACTAAGCCCAACACCCAGGGCCTGCATATGCGCGCAGAGAGGCGATGCAGACGCGTTCCTGTCAATGAAGATATCCTGGGTAGAAGTTCCTTTGCCAGGATACTGACTATCAAGCAAAACATAAATACCATTAGCATACGCGCTGTATGGCGATACGCTACACGTGAACGGCTGCACCTTCCCGGTCATTTACAGACTGGAACATCCTGCTGCTTGTGTACCTGCTCATGGCGGCAGAGCACATTTGTAATGCGGTCTGAACGAGTGAGAGCCTGATGAATCTCCATGGAGGCGCCGCCTGGGTACGCAAACACGTTGTCCACGCCCTCGCGTTCCAGGCACTGGACAAGGATATCGGCACCTTTGCGCGGCTCCGAGCCGAATCGATCAACCCAGTCCGCTGGACCTGCAAACGGTGTAGAGGGTCGGATGGCAAGAACACACAAGGGGCCGCAAGGTGGGTTTACCACCAAACTCTTAGGTTACGCAATTATGACACCTCAAGGGCAAATGTGAATTCCAATGCAACTAGATGGGTCGCAGCACAGACTTTTCTTTTCCGTGAGCGTATCTGCAACGGGAACTTACTCTCCTTCGCCAGTGCAGCCTGGGCCACCTCCTTCGCACGCCGGACCTGTGTAACCCGATCGGTGTTATGCACCGCGCCAAAAGGGAACGACCTTTAAGAGCTCCTCATACACACCTCTTCAGATTGCATGCGTCGGGCAGATCCATCTGCAAGCTTAGCGTAGGCGGTCACGCATACACGGGCGGGCCTGCGTGCACCCGAAAACAACTTTCACTATTCCAAGCAGGACCTTACTATAAGTGGCCATGCCCCAACTCCTATCCAGACCTGGCTGCCTGACGGCTGGCCGCAGTTGAATAAGGAAGCAGAGCCTGTGGGATTCGACACCACCAGCACCCGTGTCAACAATGGTTGTCAGGAGGATGCCTTGTGTGACAAAGAAAACATAGTCCGTAGCACCTTATGCGGAAGAAGCAAGACAGGGTGCTGTATCGGAGTACCGCAGCCGCGCGGAGGTGCAGCCGTCGGGCAAAAACGTAAAGCCATATTTCTTACTTCAGTCCTCTATTACGTTCAAATGTAAAAGAAAATTTCACTTGAAGTGTAACTGGTACTTGTTAACTGAGGATTCAGCACCCGGGCCTTATGGCAATAACAGTTAACATAACATTGGCCCTTCGCGCACGCCACGACAACACCTATGTGCGAACACGACTTCGATATTTTGTCAATTCATCCTAGCTGACAGTGCTTGGAGGCCACATAATGTCAACCAGAGTCTGCGAACGTTTTCGGTCCAACTTTTTAATCTTGACTGTTGTTGTTTAGTAGGTAGATAAACGTTGGTGGACACTACCGAGATACCGTATTGCCACGATATTTTTGTGACACGCAATTGGTATGGCGTCACCAAATGCGTGTCTGTGGAGAAAGCTCTATTGGCAGATTTTTTTGCCCGTCGCCAAAATAAGTGTCACCAATACACCGTACACCGCGTTTAAACATGCAGGATACCGGCCAGAACAGGTCCGAATTCTCAATCTAACTCAGTAATAAGTTATATATATAGTTTTCCACTCAAAAAAAGGCTTTCTGACAGATTTTCCATGAGCTCGCTCCAATGGCGTCCAAGAAGCCGAAGCAAGTGTTACTCACAGCTCTACTGCCCAGGCTAGGCCGCAACCGGGCGAGAGCAGCGAGGGGGAGTCGGAGGAGTCGGAGGTGGAAGAGGAGGCGGTAGTGCAGTTGGCGGAGGCCCGTGCTGCCAACAAACGGCAGATTAGCAAGCCTGCCCGTTATCGCTGAGACGTTCACGCCTGTATATTGGTCGCTTTCCACACATCCTCACTCATTAAGTAAATTATGGTAGGTGCAGGGGACCGCGGGTCAACGGTTCCATACGTTATTTCAAGACTGACGGCCTGAGGGCGTCATAACAGTTTTGCTTGAAGGGAGGTTTCGGGATTTGCGGCAGAGGGGACTTGGGGGTTTTGCAAGGGGGCCAGCTCTGTGGTGCCTAACCTGTTTTGTTTGGTTGACAGATTGATTACCTTGCGCTTCATCTACGTGTATGTTTCCTCTCAGAGCAACGAACGAATGAACACAGTAATAATGCTGCGGTTTCTGCTCGGGGCCTCCCTGGAGCGTCGCCAAACTGGGTGTCACAACTGCAATTATGTCCGGGACTCGTCACCAAAAATGCAAATCATTAGCATAATTCCGGCTATGATTTTCGAGCCTTCCCCAAAAGCGTGTCACAAAAATATCGTGGCAGTACGGTAGTTGTCTTCTGTGGCTGCTGACAACTTAGCGTGACTAGTTGGCAAACTTCGAAAGATTTAGCCATCACGTATTTGATGCTGGATTTGGTTTCTGGGCAAGTAGATGTTTTAGATACCCAGGCGACAACCCGTGTACGAGGGTCGACACTTGTTGGTGCCTTGTCGCAGATGCATTCACGGACGCGATATCGTTTAGTGTGATGGTGTTTCACTAGCTGCACTAAGGAACGCCGAAACCAAAATGGTTTTCGTATTTTGAATGTTTTAGCGCCAGGTATTAATTGCTGCTAATTGTCAAGGTCTGCAAGGAAAATATGGATCGTAGGCTTTTCCTGGCAGCCCTCACGGGCTACAGCCTTCTGAGGCTGTCGGTGTTGGGCGTGCGCAAGTCAACGCGGCGTTTGCAGGAAGGAAAAAAGATAGCTGCCCAGATCAAAGGTCTGTGGTCAGAAGGCACAAACCAGCTCCTAAAAGTTGCCCGCCATATAGTTAGTGCTAGGTTTGCAAGTTAATGACAGGTCTGAGGTCCCATTAACTTTGTGACGCGCTAGTGCGGGCTTAGTGTACGGGGTGTTTCCACTAGGCCTTACGGTTCTCCGCCAGGAGTGCCCCAACCTCCAATTTGTTTGATGAATATTTGTTTCTATCATTAGTTATATCAATATACGCTTTTAGGACGGTGAGAGACGAGTCCAGGACGAAGAACATTCGAACATAGTGTTAGTGTTCGGCCAAGTGGAAACACCCTGTAAGCCCGAAGTTGGGGGCTCCGACACAAGCCCAACCAACATTTTCGCTGTACACGCAAGGCTGCATCTATAGTGAAAGGGAACGAGGCACCCCCTTTAGCCTGATCCCGCCTGATCCCCTCCTAACCCTGGCCGGCCGGGACCAGCATCACCTAATCTCCACCTTCAAGCCACTCTCCGCCATCGCTTTCGCACCTCCTCTCCACTCTCACAAGCCACCTTCGCCGTCTCTACTCTGATGCCAGACAGCACAGAACCTATTCCCCTCTCTTGGACGGGCCCCAAGGGCATACACACGAGCACGCGAATGCACATAGCCCAGCTCCACAACTCCCCTTGCTAGACCACGCAACCCTAGGCCAGGACACTACCATCTCGCCCAGCCCTCCACCTGCCCAGAGCCTCCCTGCTCTCCTCAATCGCCCTTCCCACCTATGCTTACTCCTGGCTCTCTCGCCCTCTCCCTCATCCTCCCTACATAAAAGCCCCTGACCCGACTCTGGGACGGCTATTTAGGCCGTGATTTCCACCGGTGCTGCAGACTACACTCGCTCCTGCACGACTGCCAGGATGGGGTCTCCAGCACTGCGACCGAACGCCGGGGTGATGGCTGCTGCTGTCCCGCCATCGTTATCGATCCCATCTATCCCTGTCGCCGGTTTGCTGCTCGGACGCCGCACGCGCCGATTTCTGTAGCGGATAGCGCCGCTAGCGCAATATGGCATATCCCAGGGGTCCTACTCACACCCGGATAGCCCTTGTGCGAGCCAGAGCTTCAAGCCGGGTAGTGGTGATTCCTATTGTTGTGTTAAGGGTGTAATACTCCCTTTCTATCTGTTCCCGAAAGGCGAATGCGGCTGGACAATCTGAATACGGCGTATGCGGCTGGGCAATCTGAAGTTTAAATTTTTATATTTAATTTTCCACTACATTGCATTTAACGTTATTTTCCGCTCTCCATATTCTGTGTACATCGCAAATTCAGTACCAGCGTTACAGATACAACCAACACCCCGTCTACTTCTAGGGACACGAAGGATACTCGCAGGAGGATTACATGGAAACCTTCAGAAAATTACTTTAAAAAGTTCGCAAAGTTCATATTCATGGCACCAAAGGCCACATGGCATAGAATACACATTTCATGTGAGCCGACCAAACGATCCTCTTAAAATCTAGTTTATGGCTACGATCCTGCACACGTCCTGCTCTTTCCCTGCGGTTCACGAAGTCAGCTGCTACACATCCTGACTGCTAGCACCCCGGACCCTATCCCGCCAGTGCAGCAAGACTGGCGTTATTCGCAATAGACTACTTAGTCAACCTCCTCCATGCGGCTGCCCTCGCCAGCGCCTGCATCTTCCTCCAGGGGGGGGAGGTCATCATCCTGCAATACCTCTTCCACGTCCTCATCAATGGACAGCCCCAGCTTGATCATGCGGTGGATGCGAGAAGCAAACGTATTCGGCTCGTCCAAGCTGAAGCCAGAGCTGAGCAGCGCAGTCTCAAAAAGCAGCAGAACGAGATCCTTCACAGTTTTGTCACTCTTGTCGGCGTCACTCCGCTTCTTCAGCTCCTGCACGCGAGAATCAGCGGCAGTGAGATAACGTGCGCTTAGCAGTGTCATTTTTACAAACATTTTAAAACTTACACTCATAATTGGATTCTCCGGATTAATCTCGAGAGTCTTCTTCGAGGTCATGTAGGCCGCCATACTGTTGTCACGGAGGGCCTGCGCCTTCATGATACGCTCCATGTTGGCGGACCATCCGTACTCCCCTGTGACAAGGACACATGGCGAGTCTACTACACGGTGGCTGACGGTGACCTTCTCGACCTTGTCGCCCAGGATGTCCTTCATGAGGCGGCAAAGAGGCTCAAACTGGCTTGCCAATTCCTCCTTGCGCTTCTTCTCCTCCTCGCTGTCGTCCAAGTCAAGACCCTCCTTCGTGCAGCACACCAGCTTCTTTCCTGCATGCGCGCATTGGTGAATGCATTAACAGCGATAAGTGCTTAACCCAGCGGAAATCGTAGGGGCAACGTCGAATGACATCGTGTGGTATACTATACGATAACGGTGGCGAAGAGTTGCCGAGAGGGTGCGGAAATTGTACCGGGAACGCACTATTATGTTTCTTACCACCTCATCTGCGATGTGTGCACAACCGTGCCTCTCGTCCACTACAGATGCTGGTGCTAAGTGCTTAGCGCCTGTCGCGATCGCGATCCGATGAACAAAGCAGTGAAAAACTCACCGTCATATTCCTTGAGCTGCTGCACAGCGTACTCGTCGATGGGGTCGACCATGAACAAGACCTCGTAACCCTTCTTCTTGAGACGCTCCAGGAAGGGGCTGTTCTCCACTGCCTTTCGACTTTCTCCAGTGATGTAGTAGATTGACTTTTGGCCCTCCTGAGAGAGGCGTATGAAAACTTTATCAATACAGCAGAATTCTTTTGTCGCTTTGAAGTAGGCAATCTTCTCCTATTCCTGACACAAATCACACAATCTAGCACAGCGGGGCCAGTTACCTTCATACGGGTTACGTAGTCTTTTAGGCTGGTGAGCTCCTCGCCGCTCTTTGTCGAGTGGTACCTAAGCAGTTGGAAAGATATGAAACTTAGATGTAGTCACCGTACAATTTTGATTAGCTCAATCAACTAGGGGCATGACAATTGCAGAACGGATAGAAACCAACCTCTACATACGATCATCCCGCACTTACCGAAGGAGGTCGGCCAGCTTAGCACGGTTTTGGGAGTCCTCGTGCACACCCAACTTTAGGTTCTTGCCGAACGCCTCATAGAATTTCGCGTAATCATCCTTATTCTCAGCAACCTCTGCGAAAAGCTCCAGGCACTTCTTTACGATGTTCTTCTTAATGACCTACGAAGATGTAAACAGGGAGAGGACGTGCAAACCTAACATGAAGGACAGTTCAGGTACAGATAAACTAGTGGAAGACAGAGCCGTCTCTGCATCTTGATGCACCATCCAGAACCTCATGCATGTATCTACAGGAATCCTACCTTGAGGATTTTGTTCTGCTGCAGCGTCTCGCGAGAAATGTTAAGAGGCAGATCCTCGCTGTCAACGATGCCCTTCACGAAGTTCAACCATTCGGGAATCAGCTCCTCGCAGTTGTCCATGATAAACACACGGCGCACATACAGCTTGATGTTATTTGGCTTCTTGCGCTGGTCGAACATGTCGAAAGGAGCACGGCGTGGCAAGAAGAGGATACATTTGAACTCCAGTTGACCCTCAACGCTGCAATGCACAGGGGGGATTTCGAAGTTCAAGTGTTTGTCAGATGATGTTTGTCAGCACACCCTCCCTACAAATTTCATAAATATCAATGAACTCCGCAATTTTGCAACAATCGGCATCGCATCTCGAACGATTATCCCCTACCTGAAATGCTTCACCGAAAGGTAATCCTCCCAATCGTTGCTAATCGACTTGTAGAACGCAGCATACTCCTCCTTAGTAACCTCGTCAGGGTTGCGCATCCTGCATGCATGAAAATTGTCAGAAGTCACAAGTTTAGCGGGTGCACGTATACAGTATTATGTGATTCCAAGTATACCCACGAAATACTGTGGACACGTAACCGATCACACGCAACTCAGGAAGGTTATAGCTCCTGTTATGCTTGTGTTGGAAAGTTTGGCTTAAAGCAAAATACTCACCAAATAGGCTTTTGCTTATTCAGAAGAGACCACTCGTGCTGCACCTCCTTAACCTTCTTCTTTTTCTTCTCTTTCTCCTCCTTGACCTCCTCAACCTTACCCTCCTCGTCTGCGCCACACAACATACCAAAGTAGCGCCTCAGGATGGGTATCAGAATCTGTAGTCCGTGTCAGGAACCCTAATTGTAACGGACCATTAGCAAACAAACGACATAGCCTTACCCTCCTTGACCTCCTCCTCATCGTCAGACACCTCCTTGTCGACTGTCTTCTCAGTCCACAGAGAAATTGGATAGCTAATGAACTCGCTGTGCTTCTTGACAAGGTCCTTCAGACGTCGCTCCTCCAGGTACTCCTTCTGGTCCTCCTGCACCATTTAGGGGCCAGAAGAGGATACATATGAAACACATGACGCCAAGCGTACAAACCGTGTGCAAGGGCCAAGGGGGGGAAAGCTCCATTACGATTCCTCGGGGGTCCCCATTCCGTACGGGATGCCTCACCTTCAAGTGCAGGATGATCTTGGTGCCGCGGCCAAGTGGCTCGCCATCCGTATCGCGGCGAATGCTGAACGAGCCGCCGGCTTGGGATTCCCACACGTACTGCTCATCGTCATTATGCTTCGTCACCACTGTGACCTTATCAGCCACGAGGTAGGCCGAATAGAAACCGACGCCGAATTGGCCGATCATAGACACATCGGCACCAGCACTCAGTGCCTCCATGAATGCCTTGGTACCAGAGCGTGCGATTGTACCAAGGTTGTTGATCAGGTCCGCCTTGGTCATTCCAATACCGGAATCGATGATAGCAAGTGAACCATCGCTCTTGTTAGGGACCAGGTGAATGTAAAGCTCCGGGTTGCTATCAAGGACCGACTTATCGGTAAGGGACATATAGCGGATCTTATCCAGGGCATCGGATGCGTTCGAGATAAGCTCGCGTAGGAAAATCTCCTTATTGGAATAAAAGGTGTTGATAATGAGCGAGAGCAGCTGGTTAATCTCTGCCTGAAAGGCAAAGGTCTCCACCTCCGGAGCATCTACTGTCGTCGCCATGATCGATATATGAATTTCTTAGTATGCCGAGAAAGGTTGGCACTGCAGTAAGGATGGTAGTGCACTATGATCAATGACACTGATAACCGCTACGACAGCGTGCGCCGGCATTAAAAGGTTTTGGGGGGATGGTTCTGGAGGTCAGCCGTACGGGAGCCCGCGCTCTAGAAAGTCTGCGAAGCGTCGGGGGTGGTTAGCCCAGAGGTTGCGAAAACCGCAGCGAATCCATTGGATGTTTCCATTACCCAAGCTGATACCTTTAACATCACGGTCTTCATCGTAAGCGTATAGCTTTCGCATAGACTTATATGGTTCAAAAGATGTCGATGATGTCATGAATACCATCGCTGTTTGTTTGGAGGTATATGTACCATATCAGCGGTTAGGTGCGCATTTCCCAGTCACCAGACGCGAGGTATCTGCGGTGGCATAGTATTGCAGGGCACACAAGTAAGCACATGGGGTAGCATAAGGAAGCACTTGTACTTATACTAAGAATGGTTTGTAAAGAAGATTGCAAATCGTTTGCCTCTTCATTTGGGGCATGTGCAGCAAGGGACAAGAGAGCAGAAATGATTGGCAGATGTTGGTAATTATTGGCAGTGCCCATTTTACCTGCATGGATACACGGACAAGGGAAACGATGGAACACACACAAAGGTTCTCCTTTTTGAGTTGGATTGCACCCCTAGGCTTCTCTGTTCTGTGTTCTCTGTTCTCTACAGCACTTTCATGGGGCTTCAACTGGCTGCACTTTTCCCAAACTTCTCCCTGCTGTTGCACCTTAAGCATGACAGGGATGCAAGTCAGAGTGTTTGCCTTACACTTCACGGCCTTCGAACGATCTTTGGCAGCATTGAAGTACATTGCCAGCTGTGTCCCTCCTCAGATAAAGTTGTGAGGATCTCATGCTATTATTATATATATCCTGCAGTTGAATCCATGGTTTAGCGCCTTTCCGCATCAGACGATTTGCTAAGGCACGCTGGTTGTCAATGCTTACATCACCGAGCTAAAGTGTGCACGCGCTGGGCACCTGGGGTTTTGGATTTAGTGGGCTGGATTCCTTAATGCCGTTTCGTTTTGGGCGGGGCCCTAGCGCGAAGCGCCAAGGGGGCCCTCCCTCTGTAGGATTGCCCGGCGTGTGGCCGGACCAAACATAATATCTCGCCCGGCTGAAACGCGTTATTGGTACTATATTGCATTCTCTATTGCAAGGTATCTCGCCTGTTGCCAACAATGATCGTATGAGCACAAACAAATTTGGCTGCCTTCATTCACCGAGCTCAAAGCCACATCAACGCCTCTCGGGCTAAATGTAATCTCAAAAGGTGCCGCGTATCTCATAACCCAATTCTGAGATTACGGCGTATGATAACTCGAACACCCAGCTTGTGTTACCATTTGCCCGCAAGGGCATTCCGACTTGCCATCAGCAGGCCGACAAAAATGCTTTCAGTTCTCCATGAGGTACGCATGCTGTTCGTTTGTACAGTTACTTTGGCCAATGGCATTGTGCTGCGGCGGCTGTGGGGCGGATTGCTGAAGCCGCTGGCGCTTCGGAAATAAACATAAGACAGCACATGAAAGTGCTGCGGGCTTTGGGGAAGTGTATCGAGCTAGGCTTTGAGGGGGCCGCCAAGGGCGCGTGAGCAGGCGGGCCAATGCCTGAAGGGGCGCCGTAGGCAGTGTGTACGGTGCTGTACGGCGCTGTTTTCCGTGTGTATTATGGCTGCGGCACCAGACCGCAAAGCCAACAGGCTGAGGGCTGGCAAGCTGCGATTGTGTCTGCTGAGCGTTGAGCAGCCGGCCTGGACCGCGGACTTGGCGGCCGAGCCCCTGCTGTGTGCCGGTAACGGCACCTCAGACTCATACGCTTACGCCCAAGCAAGGGGCTGTCGGTGGCAGGTCACGGACCTCCCGACTACGTGTAACGGCCAATGACTCTTAGCCGTGTCTGCTAGGTTACAGAGAGACACCATCTCTTCAACAGGTTATGAGCCCCGGCTTCCTGCCTCCCGCGCTCTGACAAGCATAGCTCCCACGGCATCAGCACTGCTGCAACTAGCACGGCTCCCACCATGTTGACACTACCCTAGCTACCGGCCTGTACGGATGCAGGGAGCCCCCGCCCTTTTTCCGGCTTCGAGGAAGCCGACACCCGACGCTAACTCTTTCAAATTGGGGACCCCCAATCCTCCACGCAATTTAGCTAGCAAGAAAGTGGATAGCGGAGGCCTAATCCTCCGTTGTCCAAGTGGTGCCCATGTGGTGCCCAAATGGTGTCCAAGTGGTGCTCCATGTACTCCCTTGCGACGCGTGTCCTAAGTCCCCATGTTCTCGTGGTGTTCGCCGCTTTTACGTGGTCGCTAAGGTCCCTCAAATCAGCCAATAAAACGCTGCTTTAACACAACCTAGGCTTCGTTTGTCATGCGGCGGATTTCCAACACGTTCATAGGAAGCCATACGCAAAGCCTCAACTGTGCCTCAACTGTACCCACGTCGAGGAAATCGGGTAAGGGGGGTAACGTGTCTCTGCGTTCAGCAAACGTTCGCCGGTCAACGTTTAGTAAGCGTTTCGACCACGACCGTTCACACAATGTAATGCTTGCCAATGCAAGGCCCATCATCAGAGGCTCGCCTAGGGTCTTTTCCATCAGTCCTACTTGCAACGGCTCAGCCGTACTGCCACGGGAGCACCTGGTGCGCGGGGAGTCTTGCAGGTTGGTAGAATCACGTCTGCATGGAGCCAGTCGCTCGCGCCGGGTGCGGAGCCGCTCAAAAGAAGAGAAGTGCTCGTGCGTACGGATACGCATGAAAAGTTCTGTCAAAAGCCGGGACTCGCACCGCAACGGTTGGGCTGCTCCAGGCTGTAGCAAGACAACTGACAGCCGAAGCTCGAATTCGATCTAAGACAAGTTCGGCCTGCAATGAAACCTACTTCTCCTTTCGGTGTGTCCCCACGAGCCAGTTTAGGTGTGTTACATCCACGTTAAGTCCAACCACCTGGTCTGCACGAAGGTGACTGTGCTCAATTGGCAAAGGCGGTACAACATTTAAGCCGCAATACAGTGCTTGTGCTTGCCATATGATGATGCATGGTAATTGTGACCTGGCCTGTTGCAGTGTACGAGTCTTGTCACGGTGCAACAGTTTTGTGAAGGCTAAACTGGCTCTAAACCGGTTAGCTAGCACGTGGGTTAATGTATGTGTAGTTGCGATTATGTTAAGATACAGTGTAAGCGGCAGAACTTTGGCATATAAATCGGTTACTTTTCCGTAGCTTACTTGTCACTCTGCTGCATGCTGGCCGGTTGTATCTTCGGATACACTTGCCGACGGACTGCATTCTGTATTTCATAGGCCACGCAGATCTCATTACACACGCTACGCTTACCACATACTGAAGAAGCGCACCTATAGTCGCTCTCAACAAATTACCACAGCTATGGCATCCGCAGAAGCTCTAGCAACTCTGCGCGAGTTGCAGTCGCGCCCGGATAATAGGGTGAAGTTGCATTCGGGCTTCCTAGGTAAACACCAGATTTTTACTGGTAACTATCCTATTATCCCCATTACAGGTTTGTTCAGATTGTGAAATGAAGAACCCGCAATGGGCCTCAGGTATGCATGTGATTTACTTCGTCTTGGAGCTGCGCGCATGATCGGGACTAAAGTAAGCCAGGGTGCGGAATTGCTGCCTTGCTCCTGATTAAAATGCTTTTGCCATCTTGCAGTATCATACGGCATATTCATGTGCCTGGAATGCAGTGGACGACATCGGGGTTTGGGTGTTCATATCAGCTTCGTCAGGTGCGCGTCTGCTGTACGCGCTGCTCATGTCATGCACAAACCTTATCTTAATTTGTTCATTGCCGTTGCAGATCGGTAACGATGGATTCTTGGTCTCCCGAGCAGCTAAAGAAAATGCAACTAGGTGGCAATGCTAAGTTGAACGCCTTCTTAAAGCAGTACGGAGTGGATAAGAGCACGGACATCAAAGAAAAATATAATACTCGCGCGGCCGAGGTGGGTGGTGGGCTTGGTGAAGCCCTTTCCGTGTACGTCAATACACCTCACTGCCAGGATCCCTATCGCTCAATGTACAGTTTTACCGCGAGAAGTTGCGTGCTAGTGTGGAGGGACGAGAATACACGCCGCCGCCACCGTCTGAAGTGGGGGCCCCGGTCCCGGCCGCCAGGACAGCTATCCCGAAGGCGCCAGCGACAAACCGCAAGGATGATGCCTGGGGTGACTGGGGTGATCAGGCGGCTGACGGTGGAGCCTCGGTGAGGACACTAGCAAACACTGCCGGCTAAGTTGTCAAGGGAGGGGCTTTGTGCGGGATTGTTTTGTAAGGGCGGGTCGTATGTACACTTGGTAGGCCCGGGGGAGATGGTATGCTGCCAGGATCTTGCCGCAGCGTGAAACATTCCTATGTTTTTCCTGAAGATACTTATGATCTGCATAATCATGCTGGAAGGGTTGTCATGTCCCCACTCTGTTTCCGGATGCAGGCGGCATCGAGCGGATTTACAAGTCGCAGCGAGTATACCCGGGCGCAGTTGGAAGCATCTGCTGCAGGAAAAGAGTCTTATTTCGCTCGGAAGATGCAGGTGTGCGCCTAAAGATGCACGCACGAAAATCGCATAAGGATGCAGGAATCGATAAGTTGAACTCAAAAGACCGGGGGCTCGGTAAATCAGGTTGATCTGACCCGCTGCCGCATGCAAGATGCTAGCTCTTAAAGCCGTCAGCAAATCAAGCACAGCATCAAAATCCTGTGCAGGATTGCTGGGTTGTCGTTAGGCAGCCAGTCTTGCTAAGTGGTTTACTATGTAAAGCTTTTGCAGGACGGCGAAATGCTCGGGGAAATAGCAAGCTGTATGTATTCTGCGAACAGCCGGCGTCTGTAGACACAGCTGGGAATATACTCGCCGCTATGCATTTGCAGGAGAATGCCTCCCGGCCTGAGGGTGTCCCTCCCAGCCAGGGTGGGAAGTATGTAGGGTTCGGCTCCGCACCACCTCCTCGCCTCAAGGCCCAAGGTGGCGTGGATGACTTGACCCAGTTATTGTCGTCTACGTTCACCACGGTAACAAAAGCTGCCGAGACTGCAGCCAAGACGGCTACGCAGGTTGTTAAAAGGTACGGGAATATGGTTAGAATTTATCATGCATGATAGCCTAACCATCTTGGAAGTGGAACTGTTAGGAGCACGTCCGTACACGCAACCGATAGTTGTAAGGTCGCAGTAACAGTTGCAAATGCCTTGCAGGGAAAATGACAGTAGACTGCACAAGCAGAATTGCGGTTATGCACGCACAAAATTCATACTTCACCTAGGCTCCATGAAACCGAGTTTACAGCGTAAAAAAGTTTTTTCTGAGCCAGTTGGACGCTGCATTTTGGAATGAGCCAGTCCAGATCTTCGACCCCAGGTTTTCGACATAAGATCAGTGTTTCGAAACCCGATTGGTGGATTCTGTTTGAAGTTTTGGGAATGGCCTAAGAAAGATGACGTTTTGTAGAATCGTCCATGACGCCTTGCACCCCTGCCCTGACGTCTCGGCCAATGCATCATGCAAACTACGAGCGCAGCGGCTCGGCACAGTTGAGCCAGACATTGCAGGAGAAACAAGTCGGGGAGGCCCTGAGCCACAACGCCAAAGTTATTAGCGAGAAAGCAGCGCACGCAGCGCAGGTAAGAGAGGGCTTGGGAGCTATGTTGGTAGGCTTGCAGACCGAAATGTGTAACCGGCTGTCCATTATGAAGCATTTCTCTCCATTATTACCCTTTCATGATTGCGTTGCACGGGATCATCAACGTCCAGGCGGCAGTCGCATTCCAAGTGTAATAGTGCACCGTCATCCTAGGAAGTAGTACAGCCGGGCCCAGCTGCCATATTACAGTGTGCTCGAATCTGGCTTCTGCGCGTCATGAAAATCTGTTTGGAAACATATCTGTCTGTGCACTTCTCGAAGCTCCTCTACGAGAAGCCAAGCATTTAACCTAGGCCGTTACGGTTTGACTTGAATGGCCTTGCCTTAACACTTATCCAAGGAAAGCTGGCAAGCGTTACCCTTACATTCCAATGGCCCCGTAATTGGTCGCGTTTCGTAACGTTGCGCTAGAAATGTGTAAGGTTGACTTCCGCGCGATAATATCCAGCGCATCGAGCACAGCGGCATTGTGCAGTCTAACAGACTCGAAAGGCGCCATGTTGCCATGATTTTAATACCGTGGTTTAGCAAGTGGACCAAATTCGACACCTCAGGAGAGTCTGTGGCTTTCCTCCCTTTGCTCTCCAGTCTGGCTTTGCGGCCCTGAGCGGGTTGTATGCTAAGGTGGCGTCGACGGTGGAACATGCGGCACGACAGCAAGGCATTGCCGTGGACCTCGGCTCCCAGCGGGCTGCGGTGGTGGCATCAACCAGCAGCGGCGCTGGGGCAACGTCGAGCAGTGTCGCACAGGGTCGCTGGGGTGGGTGCCGTGACGATTGCACAATGACTGCTGCAATAGCTCTGTTATCCATTTGCCATCCGCGTAACTCTTGCACGCTTTGGGAGATTTGCCATCTTCTAGGCGGCCATTGGTCACAATGAACCCGTCACTTCAACACATTTACATTTATAAGCAGTAAAGTTGGAGATATCGCTGTGACTTGCAGGCGACAAGTCTGATTATGCAGCACTGCCCACGAGCTCGCAACAGCTCAACTCTGCTCAAATCCCGTCTAGCTCCTGGCAGAACCGTCGAGCAACCAGCCGCTCAACCCCTTCGGCGGGCGAAAAACAAGATGGTGGAAGTTTTTCAGGCTTTGACGCGGAGGAGGCCGATGGCGATGGTGAGCAGGGATCTTTGTGCCAATATTCGCCTAGATGTTTGCGTTGCAATTGCACGACCTGTACATGTTTTGTACTTGTCCGTAGCTCAGCACCTTTCACGTTGTGCATTTCTACTTGCGTGGCCGTGCAGGTTGGGGTGATTGGGGCAAGGATGGAAGCAAGGCGTCCGCATCGACCCGCTCCTCCGGCCCTGAACAAATAATCCCCGCCGCGTATACAAAAGCAACCGGACCCGCACACAAGTCGAAGAGCATGCCCGTGCTGAACAACGCCGTCCGGGATTCGGATGGAGAGGAGGAGTGGGGAAAATGGTGACCGCCGCGGCAACCAGGGCTGGCAGGGCTGAAGTGTGAAGGTGCAGGGCGATTCATTTGCAGCTTTGGGGTTCACGTTCACTCCGTGTGGTGCAGGGCAGGATGCCATGGAGCTTTGACCGTTGGCTTCATATTTAGTGACCGCATTTTGAGGTTCCTACGGATTTTATTTGGATGTGTCTTGCTGCCTGATGTCTATGATCTCATGGAAGGCTGTTGATGGTCTCAAGGTCACATGCTTGCCCTGTGGAATTCACATACACATGTTTCTGCGCATATGAAGCTTCCCTCCATGGTACGGCATAGCAGGAGTGCCCACTTGACCTGGGCATCAGCGTACGGGCGCAGGTGAAATTGGTGCTGGTTTCGCTTCGTGGGCACCTTATATCGACATCATTGTTCGCTTAATACCCACTTGGAGATGTAGGGGACCCACCCCTGGAATGTTGGCGGCCTATGCCGTTTGCCAACCTTAGGCCACAAGGCCACTTGTCAGATGCTTCATGGGCTCATCGGCTGTTCCTAAGCCTAGCTGATGCGTGGCCTGAAGTCGTTAAGCCAGCCTTGTATGTATGACATGGTGCTCGACGCTGTTTGGACCGCGAGGGGGAATAGATTAGTCAGGTTTTCATGCAAGATAGGGGAAAGTTAGTGGCATACAAATCTTTCCATCGCAACAGCTGATTTCGTCGAATGTGACCATAGCCCGTCAAGGTGGTAAGCGACTCTGTAGCAAAACGTGGCCAGCATGGTACTTGACGTGCTAGGAAAAGAAAGCACTTGCCTATATGGGTCATTCGTGCGTATGGTGGGGATTTCTGTGTTGTATGCGACCGTTTGCTGCCGCAGCCCCGTTCCAGTAAATGCAGCACTCCTGCATCGCAAGAGCAGTTTCCTTTCCGTTAATGGAATTTGGTTATTGAGCTTAGCTCCTACAAGCCTATATTGTCACAACAGTTTTTGTTATAATGTTTACCGTGCGTTTCCGTGCGGTCTTTCGGGATGTCATGCATCTTCACTGCACCTCCTTCCATATGGAATCGAGGTCACCAGCTCCCCTAGCAAGCGTAGTCATCTAGGTTGTGGCTCATAACTCATGTAGCCAAGCTTCATTAGGTTTCAGCCAAGCTTCTCATGGCCGCCCCTTTTCGCAAACGGCAGCCAAACCAGCAGCGGCCACGGCCCCAGCTGTCTCCAGCGCCTGCTTGCACGGAAGACCTGCGGAGCACACGCGGACAGCCGCATCCTCATCCGCCGCCCCAGGTGCAACTGCACCCTCATTGCAAGTCGTCAGTTAGACCCAAAACCTTGACCACAAGGGCAAGGCGGACTGTTAAAGGCTAACCCTTGCACCTTACGCCTAAGTTTCAAGTAGTGAATGGAGATATTTGTCCGGGGGAATCCTCGCTCATGTCGGGCGTCCGAATCTGGGAAGCAGGTGTTACGTTGACTTCCCTGCGACATTTCCAAACCTCGCTAGGAGCGTCCTCTGAATTTCGGAGCGCACTCCGAGTCGCGATTTTCCTCTAATATCCTGATGAACGATTTCAGTCAGTTCATGCTTAAAGCATGATTAGCATCCATTTGATGGCTGGGAAATATTCCAGCCTTCCGACAGACTGACTGCCACGCTACAAATGTAATAATATGGATTCAGGTCCTCCACTTGAAAACCTATAAATCAAAAGCGGCATGTGGGCATAACGGTTTTTCCAGAGATTTTTAGAGCTATGAGCCAGTGCCCACCTCCCGCCTTTGAGCGCGGTGGGGAGACCAAATATGTTCCGCTACGCCAACCTTGTTGGGAGGCGGCTCACCAAATTTTGTGAAGACAATATGCTTCGTGCCGCTAGCCAGGCGGGTTGTAGGCATGGTTTCGGCACTGAGCACCACCTATTCACGCTGCGGCATCTCATTCCTAAGCACACGGCGGCCGGAGCTAAGCCGCTTATCATCATGCAAATTGACTTTAGTAAGGTGTTTGATTCGGTCGACCATGAGACGCTCTGGCGGTTCCTTGAGTCGTACGGGCTGCACGGTCGTATCCTCAATTCACTGAAGACAAGCTATGCAGACGTGAAGGTTCGTGTCAAGCTGGGTAGTCAGTTGGGGCCTGAATTCTCCGTGGGGCGCGGCGTAAAGCAAGGGTGCCCCCTTATTGTCACCCTTTTTGGACTATTCATTGAGGTGTTTGCTCATTACATCGAGGCCCACGATACCGACTGCCGTGTGCGCCTTCCTGACCGATGGAACATCCTCCGCGAGCAGGGTGTAAGCCTGGCGTGCGGTGAGCTCACCAACTTGCTTTTTGTCGATGATGCGTCGTTAGTTGCAACTGGCCACGAGAGAGCCCAATGCTTACTCGGACTCCTCGAGGCCTATTGCAAGGCGGTCTTCATTTTTGGGGGCACAGCACGGGAACAGAAGCGCCTAATGGAAGCCGAGTACCGGTTATGTGGGGCGTGTTTGAGGGTACTGGCTGGTAATGAGGCGGCGCGATACCTCGGGCTACATTACGGCCCAGGCGCGCAGTTCTCAGCATGCACCAAACAGTTACTAGCAGCCGGGAAACGGGCCATGTTTTGCCTCAGTGCCCTGTGTCGAGATAAGAAAATTACTACCCCTAAGCTGTGCATGTCCCTCTATAACGCGCTCGTTGTGCCGGTGTTTTCGTATGGAGTGCAAGTTTTGGGACCTGATTTTATTGGTGTGAATTTCGAGAACGCAATGGTGAACCCTATAGTGCAGGAGCAGCGCGCGTATATGCAGTCAGTGGTAGGAGCGAGGAGCCCGACTATGGCTTCGCTCTATCGCGAGCTGTCACAAAGGCCGCTCCAGTGCCAATCTTGTACTAAGGTTCTGGAACACGGTTGTCAAGAGTCACCGGGCCTTCATTGCCGACCTTGAGCTGGCTCTTGGGTTTGTTGCTGAGTTAATTTCAAAAAAATTAACTTCACGTCCTGCTTGTCTTGCGGTAGGTGAAGGAGCTATGGACATAAGAATGGAAAGGTTCTGCTGCCCTTTATCTGCCAGTTCTTCAATTATATCCCAGTAATTCTGGGTTATCCAATCTTTGACAAATATCGAAGGAGGGTTTTGATTTGTTTTACCCCAAGAAATTTCTGAATGCTGGACGGACAAGGTCCTAGCTTTCCTTAATGGTTTGGGAGCTGAGCCTCCAGCCGCCCTGCGAGGTGACCTCATAGCGCATTACGCCACGTTAGGTTGCCAGTGGGAAGCTTACGTAAAGAGTTCGCTAGGCGGCTCGACGCCCGGTGGGAGTGCCCGGATACCCTAGGCGACCCGCGCACCTTCCCAAGTGGAAGTACCGGCGTCAAGGCACATGCCGCTATCTGAACTTAATGGGGCCGCCCCCGCTTATAAGCACGCGGCAAAAGTGGTTTGCCCACGCTGAAATCGCCATGCCCCAACGTTTGCATCAAATGCTTATGCGTTTCCGGTTAGGCTGTTGGGAGTTAGAGATTAACCGACCTAACTGCCGCGAGCGCACAGCGCGCACCTGGAGGCTTTTTAATTGCGGGGCGGTTGCAGACAAAATGCATGTCCTTGTGGAATGCCCTGCGTACACTAGTACACGGGCTAAGTACGAACGTGACCTCGCGTTTCAAGGGCGCAACATGCGCACGATTATGACCGAGGCCCCACCCCTGGCGCTAGCCAGGTTCCTCCCGGAAGCCTAGGAGACCCGGCGCGTTGCTCTAAGGCGCTTCGTGCTCAAGCGGACGAGGGAGGACAATGATGGTCCACCACGTAACTGCACTAAAAACGATTTACCGTCCATGGCCCCCCCGGCTTTTACGGACACCCCCGCACTTGTGCGGAACTTGTAACTTGCTAAGGTGGGACGCACTTCCGCTACCCACTGACAAATCTACTACCAAAGATTATCAAGAATTGAAATTGTGTTCTCTGGTTCGGTCCTTAATTTTGTAAGGTCCATAAGGAAGTACAATGGTGATCGATCTCGACTCGCAAGCACCAAACGCACGTACGTAGCGGAATATAAGTATATTTGGTCTCGCACCGCGCCCAAAGGCGGGAGGTGGGCACTGGCTCATAGCTCTTTTAAAAGCACTGGTTAAAAGTCTCTATGCACAATACTGGATTACCGCTGAGCGCTTCTTCGTTTTAGACGTTGCGTTTCCAATCTAGATGTGAATTGGGAATATGGTAACAAAATGTTGTTTTTACAACAATTCTGGGGGTAATACAGAGGCCAGCAGGACTTGTAACGTGGCAAACAGATTTTTCACGTTCAAACGATCAGGGCCTGTTTAAATTTGCTTCAATCCGCTTCCCGCAACCTATTTATCAATTTATCGCTTTTTCAACACTCGTTATGACATGTTATTACGCATAATGTAAAACGGCGTGCACAACGAAAGGCGTGGTCCCAGCACTTTAAACTCAGCGCTAACAAGCGAGCCAGTGAAATCCCCCTGTAAGCATAATAACCTGCGACTGTAAAGCACCCACGTCCAGCTCCCCAAGGTAAAGGCGTCCATTGTCCTTGCGTCGTTGAGCAAGTTCATAAGGACATGGCAACACGCCATGGATTGGGTACTGTATGCCATGGGGCCCGCTCTTCTGCCTGCAACAATGTTAATATTGCAGGGTCAGAGATATTTTTTGAGTCCCTTAAAATTGTTCAGGTCGTGTTTTTTTTATTGTTTTCCAGATATAGGGTGGCAAATTATTATTGAGTTTAGGGACCTTGAAAACCTCAAAGCCTTCCTGCATGTCTGGCTTCCAGTTGCACCAGCTCCATGCCTGGGTCACGGCCCAGGCAAATGCATCCAGTATGGCTATCGTATTAAACTTCTGGCGGCTGATTTCTTGTCTCCTTGCAACCATATGACGAAGTTCCTTGTCTCCATTTCGCAGCCTGTCTAGCATCTGCTTCGCGACGTAAAGGAGGTCGTGCAGGTCTCCGCTGGCAGTCAGAAAGTGTTCCCCTTCTTTGAAGAAGCTGTGGTACCACTCCTTAATATGCGATTTTACCGCCAGTAGAGGGGTATTGCTGAGCAGCATGAAGGGCAAACGATCCGTGAAGCCATGGCCATGAATATGTAAGTTTACTAAGTAATTGTTCCATTGTTCCAGTGGTAAGCCAGGGCGCACCACCAGCTTGTTGAATACCTCGAGCTGTGAATTAACTTCAGTAAGGCGGCCCGGATTGTGAAAGTCGTAGTCATGGATATGTGTAATACCAACGTCCATCCATGGATAGTTGAAGCTCATGAGGGAAGCGGAAATACGCCTGTTGTGTGCCAGCTTCTCCGCGAAATCCAGATTTGCCAGAGCTTCCTCAGGAGTCCAGGAAACGTTGTGGTGTGTATTCCAGGCTGGGCTATCCCACCCACGTAGACGCCCTGCAGTATTGGACGTATCCAGGTAAAACTGAATATTGATGGTAGCTACTTTTAGGTGCACTCTTATGTTTGATGTGCATTACGCACGCATCCTTCTTAGGCTGCACGCATATGGGAAGCTTAAATACATACTGCATAAAGAGGGTTTGGCACCACTGGTAAGGCGCGACCATTGCCCCCGGGAGATCCCGGGATCGATACCCGTTAGGGTCAAAGTCCTTCCGATGGTGGAAGGCATTGCGCCCCTAGTTGATGGACGGTGGTGACCTGGGATAAAGTTAACCTGCGAGCCGACCAGGAACGGAGTTGGGCCGCTGTCGACCCGGCAGATTCCGTTGGATGCTGGTGGTGGGTGCGGAACCTGAGCGATCCACTGAGAAGTTGACTAGGGTGACTGGATGAGGGTGCCCCGAAATACCGGGGAAGGCAGGGTTTCGCAGGGTAGCTGCCACGGGCGAAGATACACCCCCCTGTTTCACACATCATACTGCAGGAGTAGTGGGGACAGCTGCATACAGGCGCTCTGCTCGGCAGCAAAGTGTAAGAAGGGATCAGCTCCTCAGGCATCTTCTTGAGTACATTTTGCCTGGTGTTACATTAGTGCGAATTGCTAGGAAGTGGGAACTCCCTGCATTGAATCCGGTTGCGAACATATCGTACACCAGGCACGATGTGGAATACCGCAAAGGTGGATGCCCGGGTGGGCGAGAAGACTACCAGCTGAGTAAAATCAAAGTCCTCCATCTCGGACGGGGACTGACGCAATGTCACAACAATAAACTAACTTAAACAATCTGTAATCCTATGAGATATGCCCGGGGGCAGCCGAGGACGTTTGCTCGAGGGGGGAGGAATGTAAGAAGGGATCAGCTCCCCTGGCATCTCCCTGAGTACTCTTTGCCTGGTGTTACACAAAGGCCACTGCAGAGTGTAGCCTAGATCAGCTTGTGGATTGTTCCCTACAACACCCATGCTGACATCTCCCGAGTACTACGTGGATGCCAGGTTCCAGAATAATAAGCATCTATTTAATCAACGAGAAGTATTATGCGGTTGTACAAGGTGTCTTACCAAATTCTTTGAAGCCTTCCCATGCACACGTTCTTATGCACACCTACCCGTGGATGAACCGCGCCAAAACACCTTTGCCTCCTTCCTTTCCCATGGGTACTCGGCGTCAAGGCACTGCATGAAGGCTAGCAGTTGGTTTGAAGACATTGAATACCTGTAATGGAACGACGTATGCAACATTTTATTGGGTTCAAGTCCACAATGCGTCAAGCTACTGCTGGCCGCTGTGCACATCCCAAATTACAGCTACGAAGCCCGTGTAATCCTTGCTTATTAACCTCATTGTTTGCAGGACGCACCTAGCCCACTGCAGGAAGTGTGGCACTGTGTAACCCATGCTGAACCTGCCATGGTCTGATAATATGTCGTTCAATCCCAAACAGGTCGATATGACTGGGAACTCCGTCTGAGACTCAATATGGGGGACATCGTCGGAACTATAAACCAGGTCCATATCCGGAAGCTGGTAAAGCCAGGATGCCACAACCAACATCTCCCCGAAGGTGTTCACGTATTCCGGCCCGAAATAGGTGCCTGCCTTTGCGTCAATGTAGACAGTACCGTTCAGCACCTTGAAACGTGTTGTAAAGGGCCGATTCCAGGACTCGTAGAAATATGATTGATTGGCGGGTGTCCTGGGCCAAGAGTTTTCCACCAGAGGAAATTCCGCAGGAACTGTTCTAGGGGACACCAAATCATCTCCAAAATATTCTGCTTGTGCAAAGGAAAGACAATCTTTGTGCTGCCGACGAGTTACCAATCGGGGTGAGAGCAAAGATGCTGTCACAATGACGGATAGAACGATAATTATTGTGAAGGTAATCTTCACAGTTTTGAAGCGGTATATCATGGCTTTGAAGCTAAGTATCCTAGCGTTGCATGTTACCTCTCGTTCAGCTGCTGAAATCTTCAGCATGATGATATTATTTGATACACGCCGATACACACTGTCGCAAGTACTAGCAGAACGTAATTATCGTACTGATAATAGATAAAAAGTCAATAAAATTTTTTTCCATTCAGATAGATAATGAATAATGTTTCGGTAAAGGAAATATGTATCGGCCACCTTCATTTTTTTGTATTTATTTTAAACTCTGCAGCCATCGCAATGTTTATTATTTTGCGGAGACTTTGTCGACAATTATTAAAAAAATTGCTTTCTTCACCTTCAGAAATGGAGTGCAAGCCCTTGCCGTCTGTCGCTGCCCGCGTCCCTGTCCTATAAACCAGTTCATCTCCGATCTCCGGGAGCTCGTAGAGCCAGGATGCCACAACCAACATCTCGCCAAAAGTGTTCACGTATTCTGGGTGCCTGCCTTTGCGTCAATGTAGACAGTACCGTTCAGCACCTTGAAACGCGTTGTAAAGGGCCGATTCTAGGACTCGTAGAAATATAGTTGATTGGCGGGTGTCCTGGGCCAAGAGTTTCCCACCAGAGATAATTGCGCAGGAATCGTTCTAGGGAACACCAAATCATCTCCCAAAATTTTCTGCTTGTGCAAACGTAAGACAATCTTTGTGTTGCCGACGAAACTTGCCAATCGGGGTGAGAGCAAAGATGCTGCCACCATGATGCATAGAACAATAATTAATGTGCTGGTAATCTTCACAGTTTTGAAGCGGTATATCATGGCTTTGAAGCTAAGTATCCCAGCGTTGCATGTTACCTCTCGTCAGCTGCTGAAATCTTCAGCAAGATGATATTATTTGATACACGCCGATACACACTGTCGCAAGTACTAGCAGAACGTAATTATCATACTGATAATAGGTAAAAAGTCAATAAATTTCCATCCATTCAGATAGATAATATTGTTTCGGTACAGGAAATATGTATCGGCCACCTTCAATCTTGGTATTTTACTTTCAATTCTGCAGCGATTGCCATGTTTTATTTTGCGAAGGCTTTGAAAGCAATTAAAAATAAATTTACTGCTTTCTTCACCTCAGGAATGGAGTGCAAGCCCTTGTCATCTGTCGCTGCCGGAGTCTATAATCGGAAGCTAGTAAAGCCGAGATGTGTCATATCACGACCTCAGAAAAGAACCGATTGACCGATGCAGATCCCCTGACATGCCCAGGATATTACAGGATGCCACAACCAACATCTCGGCAAAGGTTTTCACGTATTCCGGCCCAAAATAGGTGCCTGCCTTTGCGTCATTGTAGGCAGTACCGTTCAGCACCTTGAAGCGCGCTGTAAAGGGCGATCCTAGAAATCGTTGAAATATGATTGATTGGCGGGTGTCCTGGGCCAAGAGTTTTCCACCAGAGATGATTCCGCAGGAATCGTTCTAGGGAGTACCAAAGCATCTCCAGAAATTTTGCTTGTGCAAATGAAAGACAATATTTGTGCGGCCGATGAGTTACCAGTTGGGGTGAGAGCAAAGATGCTGTCACAATGATGAATTGAACGAAAGTCTGATACATTCCGTGAAGCAGATAACTGCGGGCTCTTGGTAGTATGCGGCTGAACAGGAGGGTAGTATCCGGGCTGGAATTGGGGAAGAACTATGTCGCAGAATTGGCCAGCCTTTTATTTCTAGCAAAACATATTGGTACGTCGGGGTCTTGAATTGTTCTAGCAGGCGCGCCGGAGGTACGCGACTCAATCGAGGAGACAATTTTATCGTCAGGGGGCCTTACCAGGAGGGAAGGGTACTTATCCGTTTCAGGTTTCAGGGGCCTGAGGAGTTCTTTCCTCACAGCGGAGGTCGGTCCCAGAGATTGTCCCAGAAAAGTTGGGAAATCCTGTACGGTGTGTCTTCCGTTTATCGCAGCTGTCTGTCTGCCGGTCTGTCTAGCTGATGGTTGGCTCCACCGTCCCGATTCGACGGTCACGATGTGGTGATCGCTGTGGGACAACCGACAACGGCGGCAGTGACAATACAACGCCATCTTCATCTTATCCCCCTTCTCTATCTGCACCGTCATTTCCACCAGAGCCGAATACGTATTGCCTGTTACCAAAGTCTGCAGTGAATGGAGAAAGTGATGGTCGAGCACATAATCGCGTCAATAACAGCACTCAGCATGTACACTCGCTGTGTACAGTAGCAGCACTTTTCTCCTTGAGTAGGGGTTACAAGCTACTAGTTGTGGGTTTGGCATTCCAACTTTTCTCCCCATTTTCAAAAAACTAAGAACCGATTTCCCCGGGGGTGAGGGACCCTGTTCCTACGTCGCCGCAGACCCCGACGACCCCCCTCAGCAGCAATCCCCACGCGCCCTGCGCCCCACGCCAACGGTCATTCATCTGTTGCAAGTGTTTCGTTCGAAGACGCTGTGGACACTTTCCGGATAAAGAAAGTTTCGGGATGTCCTGAATATTCTTCCACAGAGGATCCATAATCGTTGGAGGGTGCCAGGCTAGCTTCATGCCAGAGGAGTTCATCCTTGGAAATTGCAGGCGGTCAGGTTACGGGTATCATTAATTGCCTAGACGATTATTCCATGTTGAGCAAGTTCGCATGCATCGTTCGCGTCTTGATGCGTCTTTGTCATCTCTGCCCTTTGCGAAGGGCTAAGAAACAAGCCGTGTCGGCTTCAAGGAAGCCGGAAAAAGGGCGGGGCACCCTTGCATCCGTACAAGCCGGAGCGGGGCGGGGCGGGCCGGGGCAGGAGGGGCCGGGGCGGGGCGGGGTGGCTTGGTGAGTAGTGTCAACGTGGTGGGAGCTGTGCTTCTTGCAGCAGTGCTGATGCTGTTAGGTATGCTTGTCAGAGCGCGGGGGGCAGGAAGCCGGGGCTCATAACCTGTTGAAGAGACGGTGTGTGAGACAAAGAGTACTCAGGGAGATGCCAAAGGAGCTGAACCCTTCTTACATCCCTCCCCCCCTCGAGCGAACATCGGCCCCAGGCCCCGGGCATATTCCGTAGGATTATGGTTACTTTAGATCCCGTAGGATTATGAGTTTGTTTGTTATTGTGACATTTCGTCAGTCCCCGCCCGAGATGGAGGTCTTTGTTTTACTCAGCTGGTAGACTTCTCGCCCACCCGGGTATCCACCCGAGTATGCTGCATCATGCCTGGAGTGCACAATGTCCGCAACCGAATTCGAATCTGGGAGTTCCCGCCTCCTGGCAATTCGCACCAATGTGAGACCAGGCAAAGAGTACTCGGGCTGAACCCTTCTACACGGTCTCTCTCTGGAATCTAGCAGACACGGCTGAGAGCCATTGGCCGTTACATGTAGTCGGGAGGTCCGTGACCTGCCACCGACAGCCCCTTGCTTGGGCGTAAACGTATGAGCATGAGGTGCCGCTACTGGCACACAGCAGGGGCTCGGCCGCCAAGTCCGCGGTCCAGGCCGGATGCTCAACGCTCAGCAGACACAATCGCAGCTTGCCAGCCTTGAGCCTGTTGGCTTTGCGGTCTGGTGCCGCAGCCCGAACACTCACGGAAAACAGCGCCGTACAGCACCGTACGCATTGCCTACGGTGCCCCTTCAGGCATTGACCTGGCCATTCGGGCGCCTGCTCACGCGCCCCCCTCAAAGCCTAGCTCGACAACTTCCCCAAAAGCCCTCAGCCCTTTCCGGTGCTGTCTGATGTTTATCCCCGCAGTGGCTTCAGCAATCCGCTCCACAGCCGCGAGCTTCATCACGGCACACTGCAAGTCTTTGGAGGCCCCGAGCATTGGCGAAACTAATTGTACAAACCAGCAGCTTGCGTACTTCATAGAGAAATGAAAGCAAATTTGTCGGCCTGCTGGTGGCAAGTCGGAATGCCCGTGCGGGCAAATGGTAACGCAATCTGGGTGTTCGAGTTCTCATATGCCGTCATCTCAGCATCCTATTATGAGATACGCGGCACCTTTTGAGATTATATTTAGCCCGAGAGGCGTTGATGTGACTTTGGGCTGGGTTAAAACCCTAACTTGTTTGTGCTCATACGATTTTTGTTGGCTACAGGCGAGATACCCTGCAATAGAGAATTCAATACATTACCAATAACGCGTTTCAGCCGGGTCGAGCTATATATCGGCCACACGGTCACACGGACATGGGCAATCCAGGGCAATCTTACAGCGCGGGGCCCCCTTGGGCGCTTCGCGCCGGGGCCCCGCCCAAAAAAATGTAAGTCCTATTTGGGTGTTTTGAGTTTTTCTCTGGCATGTTGCCCTTGATGCGTGAGCACGACGATAAAAATTATGCCTGAGGTGCGGGGACTCAGTACAGGCTGCGTCTACTGTCGCTCATTGTTTGTCAATGCGAATTTCCATATCTCCTGTCTTGTGTGGTCGTGTTCGAACACGTGGGTCGAAGCCTAACCGTTGACCCTTCATCGGTGTGGAGCCGGCGCACTTCCATCAATACCCCAGATTTGCTCACCTGCCCCAGCTTCACTCCGCACTTCAGACTTGCGATATCCCAACTGACATGCATCTCGATAGGGAATGCGCTACAACAGCTGATGATAATCTTACGAAACTTCGCTCTCTGCACCATCCACCGACACCGCTACCCGGACAATTTTCCTCCTGCGGCCGAGGCGGAGACGGGTTCCCCGCGGAGTAGAACCCTGCCCCTCCGATGGTGCCTCGTCAGGCTCTGCTTCTGCCTCAGCCCATGGCGCTTCTGGAGCCGCATCTCGCTCCCGTCCCGCGGTTGCCACATCGCTGCTCCGACTCACAGCCGTGCGCCTTCCCAACTGCGTGGTCGCCAACTTGCGCCTCGGCATAACCCCAGCGGATCGTTGCAGCTGCACAGCGGGCGATACGACCGCACTGGTCACAGATGGGACGTTACCCAACGGATCCCACATGCCGTCGGCTGCGGGCCCGTCGCGGCGTCTGCGACCGCCCAATGATTTCATCATTGTAAAACTGCCGATGTCGTCCTCAACTTCTTCTGCTTCATCGGGGACCAGCTCCAGATCCAGTTGGCTAAGGATATCCAACCTGCATTGCATGCAAACGGGTTGCATTAACTTGCTGATTGCTTGCCGACATATGTCAAGATGTCACCCATTCAGTTGCCAAGTAACCACAGTTTTCCTGATATAATCCGATGGCATGGTCAAGGGCCTGCAGCACCATTGCAACTATTAACACGTTTCATAATTCCAAACGAATGGCAACATTTTACCTGTGCGCATTCGCATTCTGCAACTGCGTCATGAGCGCGTATTCAGTTGTGCTACGCTGCGACACCTTGCCACAGCTCAGCATGGGTGCAAATATTGCTTTGAATGTGTATGTCATAGGTCACTCCCCAGTGCAGTGGCTGCGCGTATTGTTGCCGTTTTGCGTAGCCCCTCCCCCCTGCCGCTCCGTTCACGCTTACGTCCCGCCTGGCCTCGATGTCCCCTCCCAGCTTTCTTCCAATCCTCACCTGGGTCGCTTCAAAATGTCCTCCACGCGCGCCGTGATAAGCACCCCCTCCTCGTCATCCCCTCCTACATCAGAGCCATCATCGCCGTCATCATCCAGGACCTCGGCTTCGTCATCCCAGTCTGGCAGGTCGTCGTCACCGTCAGCACTGTCAGCGTCAGCACTGATGCCAGCGACGGCCCGCGGCCTCAACGTTTGTCCACGGGTACCCGTGCGGGGGAGCCTGCCACTGCGGCTGCTCTCAGCGGCCGCAGCCACGCTGTATCCAGGCAGGTCCTCGTCCTGCAGGTCATCAGACACCAGTGGCATGCGGTCTATTGGCTTCGCATGCATCACTGCAAAATCCCATGGCCTACTGATGCGTCCTAAGGGGACGTGCACCATAGAGCAGTCCTCATGTACGGCTCCCAGCATTGTGTGTGATATTGATCTAACAACGCCCCTTCCTACCTTGAGCGCCGCCATGGCTTCCCACCAGGCGGGGCTCGAGGTGGGATCACTCACTCCATCTGCAAGGTCGCGGGAATGGTACAAAGCATTCGCATGGACATGTCAAGTGCCCAATGGCTACCAATGCGAAATAGCTGCATCTACAAAGCAGCCGCAGGATAGAGGGTGCATAGGTATAATATCCAACCTTGTCCCGCATCGGATGCCAACAAGTTAGGTATGCTGCCCATTCATGCCCCGGCTGAGCTGGACGGCACTTGGTGGTTGGGCTACCTCCCCATTTGACTACTTAACCCTCCGAGGAAACCTGCCACATCTCGTCACGGCCCCCTGACTGCTGTCCTCCTGTACCAGGAGCGTCCCACACCTGCCAACGCGCGAGACCACTCGTAAAGTGCAGCGGGCTCCTCGCTGGCCTCCGCGCTTCCACGACCCCGCTCGCCCCGCCCAGCCCCTTCCAGCGCACGCAGCGGGCGGCAGGGCATTGCAGGACGCAGCATTACCTCCACGCCACGAGGAGCCCAAATGCGCAATCTGGCAGGGTGTGCCCCAGGAAAATGGGATATGGTTCATACGAGCTCAGGATACGTCTTCAACCGAAAGCAATCTGGTCTGGTCTGGATTGACACTACTGCAATTAGCGGTTTAAGGTCCTGGGTTCGATTCCTGGGGAGACCCCCGAATTTGTCGGGAGCGCGAGATTAAAGCTAGCTGCTGAGATGTGGAGTTGAGGTCACAGTTGATGGACCAGATTCGCACGCTGGATTGGTTGCGATTGCCGAACCCTCCGTCTCTTCGGATGTTCGGGTGAATGGATGCGGAGGGATCCCTGAAGGCTGGATTCACCGCCTTGGACTTACAGTTCGTATGGCGTAGTACAGTGTGGTAGTGGTGGATGGTGCTATAAGGTGACAAATCGTAGAATTGACAATGTGATAAAGCGGCCCAGAAGCCTCCCACTCTGTAACATTACATTACATTACGAAAGCAATCCTTGGCAGGAAACAAGCTAAGAATCCCTGACCAGACAACCCCCACCCTTCCGTCCCTCGCACCGGACCTTCGATGCCCTGTTTAATCGCCCATTAAACCTCACCTTACATCTTGCTTGGCTTTCGGGGCGCAGACAGACACCCACCCAGGCAGGCCCGAAATAACTACGTCAGCCAAAGCAGCCACTCCAGCGGCACCATTAGCTCGCACCACCACGTCCTTAGGCTGCAGCCCGCCTCGCAGGGCCACAGAGTCCGTGCACACAAGCACATTGGTGCTGCTGCTACCATCGCTGTAGTCAACTTGGAGCTGCTTGTCCGGCTGGAAATGGTGGGAATGTCCGTAGCAGTTACAGCAGCAGCAACCAGTGGGGAGCATAGCGTTTCTACAAAGGGATCGAAAATGCAGTAAGGCCAGCTCGATAGCTAACTGAATCAACCGAAAACGCAACGTAAGGATCTACAGCAGCTAGGGAAGTAGCGTAGCGGACGAGGGACATTGAACGGATGGGCCCGGAAAATGAACATAATGCTTTCTCTCAACTTCGGAAACCAACGGTCAACACACTGAACTCCCAGTGCATCTCACCGGGATGTACGGCAACCCAACCACCCGCAGCGTTGTTGGTCCGTAGAATACAAGAGCTGTACTGGGCGGTCCTGCCAGTACATCGATCCGCACCAGATCGCTCCACATGTATGTTGCTCGCACTGTCGGCGGCTGCTTGGTGGATTGTGTACTGCCGCCGCGACGCACAGCTTGTCCCGCCGCATCACCTCTCTGTCCGGCCCGCCGGATGCCAGCATCAAACCCCGCCAGCGGCATGCCGTACTCGTCCGTCTGTATATGGTCTACAATCTTCAAGCCCCCCCGACCGCGTTGTACGGCGCCCTCTCCACCACTGCTTCCATCATCACAGTTCTTGGAGCTCGTGCTCTCACCTCTGACCGGCGGGTTGGTTGCCACGACCTCATTAGCACCCACGTCATCGCTGTCTCCTTCCGTCAGCTCCACTGGCAAGGGTGGCACATACGCAGAGAGCCGGCGTCGTGGGTGCAGCAGCTTGAGCTCGGCCGGCGACAGCATGTGCAGAACGCGGTGATGGAGGTGGATGCCCGGGGTATCTGCAAGGTTGACGCAAACAAGGCTCGTTCAATTGGAGGTACATGTGCATTACTATCTAAACATGTAGAGCCGAGTGACCAAGGGCCAGCCGAAGGCTGTCTGGAATCGATATCATATAACGCAAAAGAAAAATCATCTTATCACTCGTATTGAACTAACCGTTCTGTTCGGACTGCTACTGCTATTAGAGGCTCTCCTTGGCCAGATACTGTGGATACTAAGATTCGCTTCTAAGTTCAGGTGGCCATCAGCTACAATCACATCCTTCATTGCGTGTTCCACTTGAAACCCGACAGGAAGCCTGCCTAGCTATATGCTGGGCGGTCCATACGTGCATGCTTTTCGTCCTCCACAGCTTGGGGTTCGCTAAACTTAGGGTTCCTCTTAGGGATCCTCTGTTCGCGTGCACCTCCCCCCTTACGACCGACTTGCTTCCAGTGGAGATACAGATGGAAACGCATTAGCAACGATGCATATCGACAGGAACAAATATCTGGCATGCGGTAACCAGCTTGGCTCAGCAGCTTTCTCAAACGGCGCTTGTATACAGCCTCGTGGTCACATGACGACATGAGCTCAGAAAGAATTGGTCCCTACGGAATGGATTTTCCGCTGCACCAATTTACTTGCTATTACCACTCGTAAACCAAGAGTGATAATCTATCCTACACACAAAAAAGTAAGCTTCACAAAAAGCGGAATAACGCCTAACCGTCTGGGAGTTCCCTGGGAGTTCCGTCCTCAACGCCAGGAAGACCTCCTGGCGTAGAGTTGCATCGGCGAGGGACCCCGGCTGGGTAATTATTTTGTTCCAAAAGCCGATAACACGCGTGGCCCAGTTGTGATGCAGGAAACTGTGAGAGTTCAGCAACCAGCAGCCTGTACGGGGCCCGTGCAGCTCCTACCATTCAGCGCATGAACAGAACTTGCAGCTGGACCTAAGGGCCCACCAGGCAGCTCTTGAAAAGACCCTCTGCAAAATCATTACTGCCGCGGCGCTTGATGGTCCATGACAGGGCTTTGACTAAGGGTCTCACAGCCGTAGGAGCAGATGGAACAAAGTTGGGCTTCAACGTACGTGCAGTACGCATGTATACCTTAATGCCTACCCCTTGAGCCTAACGGCCGCCAACGTCTTGCTTAACCTGCTCTCCTAGCTTGCCCAAAGCCTAGCTCATTGCAGACCAACAAAGTCAATTCCTAATCTTTCGGTTAAAGCACACCGCGGGCCAACCAGTTGTGCTCCGACGTCTGCGCGCAGCCGTCGGTCCGCAGCCCTGAAGGTGCTTAGCAGAAAGCTACAGAGCCACCGGATTCCAATGCCCAAACTTCTCTTACCAAACAAAACCCCGCCGCTGGAAAAGGCCCTCAGCGGAATGAGCCCAAGGGTAGTGCCCGGCATTGCGCTCTCCACAGGGAGATACCTATGGAGAGGTGGCAGTGGAGGATGCGGCGGCAATAGTCCTGGCTCAGATGCTAGACCAGTAGCCTTCGCCATGACGATTGGGCCCGCATTATGGCTGATGGCTTGCAAGCGTCACCGGCCCCTGTCAGGTAATTGTTGGTCGCTTGAGGCATTTCATCGTGAAGCGCAAACATGGCACTATGGACCATAAATTTCCAAGTCACAGAAAGACGATTTCAGTGCTCAGGCTTCCATCCCGTCACCTCAACCGCGCTAGATGTACTCACTTGCCCATGCCCAAGGCTGCCGGGTCAGTCCGAGCCATCTCCTTCAGCATCGCCCGTACAAAGGCACTTTTGCCAACATTGGCAGCCCCCACCACGTACACATCGCGCGACTTGCGCTCACTGCAAATCACGGCCACGGCAGCAGACATACCTGCGAGACGGGACGAACCAAAGTGCATCGATGGTCACCCCGCAGATATGGAACGGTGCAGCGGGACTCAATGACACCAAACACTTGCGTACGCCACCGCAAGGTGAGCAATTGTCAGCCGGAATGGTGACGGACTCGTCGGGTCGTCACGAACGGGTGATTGTTGAGTTATACAATGGGGACGGTAAGCCTGTATCCTCCTATGGAGGACATCCAACATAAACAGCATGTCTAAAACACTTGTTTTCGATCAAAGGCTATATGAGTAGTTAAAATCCTGAAATCCTGTGCTAGCATGTAGCCAGACTTCTGCCGGTTCACTAACATTTCTATAGGTATGAGGTAAGGTTTATTGCTGCCAGGGATACAGGGATGCAGTGCGTCGGCCGTCACGCAGGCAAGCATCGACCACGTTCCGCACAAGTGCTACAGGCGCGGTGTTGACGCGCGCTCGCTCACCGTCCCGGGTATGGCTTGAAACAAGGTGCACCGAAACCACGTTGAGCTTTTTCGTAGCCGCCGCACCCGACAGCCACTCTGCCACATCACTTGGCCGGCAGCCCTGAAGCAGAAGAGCGAGGAGAGATGTTACCACAACGCCCATGACTGACACATCCACTTAGATTTGCAACAGCCGAGCTTAGGCCCCATGCCAGCTGGCCTACGGCAGCCCACCTAGCCCACAAGCTTCCTCACCTCCGGCAGCAGGTCCATCTTGGTTCCCACCAGCACAATGGGGTTCCGCCCCACCATATCCCGCACCCGCGTCAAGAGGCTGCCAGCCACATCCGTGAGGTCCACCAGCAGTACCACCAGCGCGGCACGCAGTGCCAACTGGGGCGGGGGTTGGCGAGGTAACAGGCCGCGGACATCGGTATAAACAAACCTGTCGATGACATGCTGTGGAGTCAAACAGAAGGGCTTGGCAGTACGCCGCAGGCTCCGCCTGCAGGCCCTCTAGAACAAGAGCGGTATCTGGAACCTGTTTGATTAGCTCGTTATCCCCGTTAAGAGGCCCCTTACCGTCTTTAGTTGTCCCCTGAGCTGCTCCGGGCTGACCAGTACCTGCGAGCGCATAGGGTTGACGGAATGACTGACGGTCTCACTATGTTCCTTTACAAACTGATTAGCTCTTTCGGAAAGCAACTTACTTCAAACTCATAATGGCCCCATTGGTTACAAAGTCCATAGATTTTTAATCACCACACTCGCCTTCACCAAAATCATTTACAGGAACCCTCAGTACCCACCTTTCCCAGCAGGTTGGCGGTGCTGGCATCCGCCCCGACTGCATTGCTACTTGTTCCGCCTGCTGACGGCCCCACCACCTTTACTGACTGGTCTCTGAGTCCCTCCCTACCCAAAATACCGTCTCCACTTTCAATTCCTTCAAAAGTGGTGGCACCGCCCACCAGTTGACGAAGCTGCAGCTTCTGGGGAAAGTCCTGGACAAGGGACAGCGAACGAGACAGCCGCGCGGAGGACTACGCTGGCAATCAGACAGCCAGGTGGAATCTAAGAGACTCCCCAGTCGCCGCCACCCCAATTCCAGGCATCCATGCTTCCATGGCCTCCTGTTCACATCGTAGAACCCAGAAAATCTAGCGAATGGAGCAGCGGCCCCGTCCAACTCTGAGTACATATTTCCTTCTGGCCATTAGCTTATCGGCATTTCCAAAACAACACCCCTGGCAAACAGGAATTCCTGCGGTATGATCTTTCAACATGACCATCTGCAACCCTCTTTCACATGTTGGTTGCGTTACGACTGAACTGACGAATTAATTCATGTCAACACCAACGGACACCCCAGGCAGTCCAATACAACTAGACTGTGAATGAGCACACCTGCACCGCCGGAATCATAGCGCCATTGCACAAATCACTGCAGCGCTGGCACAGCACCTTGTCCAGCTGCCGACGCTGCTTCCGCACTGCGTACTTTTCAGGGGCCACGTACCCAGCCCCTCGAGACACCTCCGTCTGCAGAATTGCGCCGCAGCCGTAGCAGCAGCCCTGCAAGAGAGCAGGAGACAGGAAACGCAAATTACTGCGCAACAACGGATCTGCAACACACAGCCTGCCCGGAATGCAAGGGAAAACATTCCCGGGCATGAAGAGCTACGGAATGAGGGCGGACAGTTGGGACTCCAGTTGGACGGCCTGTAGACCAAGGCCTGCCAAAGGACAGCATGTAGAAGTCATATTCCCTATTCTTGAATTTGCGACTTACTTCCCTGTTACGTGCAGCTGTTGAGGACCTGTCCGCCAACCGAGCCGCTTTACGTGCAACACGCTCCTGCTCTGACATGCGGCTGCTACCAGTCACCTTGGGAGCAAGCTGCTTTGGCAAATCTCTGGCATCTGCCTTCCTGGGCATATCAAGGCAATTAACCTCCATCTTTGCTGCCTGGTGGCCGTCGGTATTCCGTGACGTTGCCCAAACTGGTGCACAGCGCAAAGGCCCCGAGAAGCCAGCAGAGGTATCCAGCATGACACCAAGGCACTGGGGATATAAAATGTAAAGCCGGAATGCATCGGCACTCCTCCATTTGGCACCAGACGCAGCTGCAGACGCCGTTACGACAAGCAAGCGCCTCCTCCGCAGAAACAAAGCCGTCCTGCGGAGTCCCGTCCCATGCACACTTTTTTTATTTAATAGCTGTTCGGCCCAAGAACCGCGTTCAAACTTCGACATCTATGCAATTTGCAGGTAATCAAACATGGCGCTTAGGCATACAGCCAACCCAGCTATGCATGTTGAAGAAACATAGAGTTGTCAAATAGGATAGGAATCAGTCCCCACACTTGTGGCGGCCGGATAACCAATCTTCTTACCGTAAGAGACAAGGTTCAGGACGCAGCGCGAAAGAGCCCGGGAGCTGCAACATTCTTACTGTTATTTCTGAAAAGTTGCACAACCTTCAGTTGGAGCCTTGGTCTTTTCCATCGGCGACGGTTCCCAAGCGTGCATAGTTCTCAGAGGCCCAGATCATCGAGGTGATTGAGTTGGGATTTCATCCCGTAAATGTAAATACTTGGAAAGGTGTTATGCAGAGTAGAAGGACTTTATGCCGTACTACCAAAGGTACCGTATTGCTTTTGACTGTACGGCGTATTAGGGACCGAGTTTTTTACGCCGGGCGTATCAATACGTCGCTTCCAACGCCAGGTATAATACAAGTCCTACGGCGTATTCATTATGTATACATTTCGATAGTGACACAGACAGCGTATTATTTGAATCGTCTGATACTGCTCGGAAACCATGTGACCATTGAATGGACCTCTCCTGCCGCGCAGGACTTGAGAGCTGGGATCGCTTCACTACATGTTAGGCACTCGCGAGCTTGATACTTAGAAGTTTCGGCATACTTCCCTTCCCCTTTACGTGTTCGTAAATTACCCTCCCTTTGCAGCCAGTGTTACACCTCTTGGGTTCACCCTCATCATCTATCTTTTCCATTACGTCACCAGCTCACCTTGCTTGCGATCGGGTAGAGGTCCTATCAAGTGACAAAGTACCCAGAGGCAGTTTACACAAGCTCTCCCATGAAACGAGTGTTTGCGTGGTACTTGGTTGCCTGTATGACAGGCATATGAAATTATTACGCCATGAACACGCCAGCAATACGCCTGCTCTAAAAGCGGCCGCGGTAACTTCGCTGACGGTACCCAGGTCTTGCTACCCTGGCCAGCTGCGAACGCTTTTCGAGCATATCCGCTCCACAGGGGTTCCCCAAGTCAGTTCGAGGATTCTGCCTTATTGACGCCCATTGACAAAAACGGTGATGTGCGCGAGAAGGGTAACTATCGGGGACTGGTGGTAGGTGGGGTATTAGCTAAGCTGTATATGTTTATGCTCCAAAATTGTCTTAATTGTTGGAGCGAGGGCAACGATGCACGTTCACAGTACCAAGGTGGGTTCCGTAGGAGGCGCTGCACCGTTTATAACGTATTTGTCTTACGGCACCTTTTGGATGCACATCGTCACCATACCAACCATCCGCTCTTTATCTGTCAGATTGGCTTCAAGCAGGCTTTCGATAGGGTTCCCCGTGAACTGCTTTGGCAACGGCTAGGGGAACGAGGATTGAATCCCGAGGCCCTGAATGCCACTAAAGTGGAATATGCGAAGGGTGTCCTGAAGCTGCGTGTCAAAGGGGTCACGGGTTGTCCTTCCGATGAAGCAAGGGTACCCCCCCAAGTCCTACGTTGTACGGTATCTTTGGCGAAAGCTTTGCCGATTTTATTAATGGGAACACCCGTCGTAGATGTAACGCTGAAAATTGCCCCTACGCAGGCGGCCTAAGAGTACCTTTACTGCTGTATGCGGACGACCTTTATTTGTTTGTGCGCTCGAGAGCGCGTTTAGAGCGGCTACTGTGAATGCTTGGTTTATGGTGCGCAACGTCGGTATGCGCGTCAACGTCATAAAAGCGTGCTAGGTGTGCATCCGAGTCCCCGTGTGCGAGAGGTTAGTCGTTGGGACCACCGTTTGTGGTGTCTAACTGTGAAAATGGCCAGTGGGTACCTAAACCGATTGGCTGGGTCGGCCGTATGCCGTACAGCGGTACCTAGGCATTCTCTATTGCCCTGACTCGCCCTTCGTGTCCTGCACTTAATTGCATCGTCAGGGACTGCTTCTCCCAGCTGTTGGTGTGCAGTGTTTAAATGCACAGATCCGACCAATCCTCTCTTACGTAGCGCAGGTCTGGGGACCTGACCTCTTAGTGGGGATCCTCGGGATTTTGTTTCGGACACCTGTCAACCGGCGTTAAGATGTGTCGTTACAAGCAATGAATGGCGGACTCACAACACCTGAGGATTTTCATCCCTCCTAAGCATTATAGAAGTTTTAATGTTCGTTTCACTTGTGCTGCTGGGCGATTGACGTCAACCGGCCCAATGGTAGGGTGAGGGAAGATCGGGTATGCCCCATGTGTCGATGAGGTGCGGTTGAAGTCGATTATCATTTTATGGAGTGCCCTGCCTACGACGTTATTCGGCAGGACCTACGGCAGGCGAATGGTATACCGTGATCAGCGTTTGCCTGCGAAGGCGCTACATGCAATGCGTCAGTTGCAAAGTTCGTAAAACGATCCACCTATCTAAGTGTTTATCTAAGTTTTACTCTTTTTTCTTTTTTCTTGTCTTGAAATCTGTTTGATGAGTTTAGTGGTTCCTGGTTCGTCTGGGCCCCACCAGCTCAAGAAGCTTGTAACATATCATAACAGCCAGGGTTGAATCCAAGCACTTGAACAAATCACGTACTAGAACTATCGTGTTGCTCCTGTGTTACGCTTTGGAGATACAGGGAAAGTGTAGGCGCCGTCTACACTGCTGCCCCCACACATGGTCGGAAAAGAGGCGCGGCTATCATAGTGGCAATGTGGCTGGGGAATAAGGGGCGCACTAGAGGCCATACTGCTTTGAAATGTTTCCTTTGGCTCCCGCTCATCCCTATCATGATTGCCTGTCGGTGGCCAGGTGGTCTTGGGGGTAATGTGCGGGGTCGTGGGGCTGCCGCCCCACTTCCCCGCACCTTACCCCCTCTCCTGCCCCCTGTTCCTGGAAAGTTTTAGGCAAAAAGTTTCATCTGCTGGCATTTGCAAGCATGTGGGCTGTGTGGCTTTTCAAGTATAAAAGCGGTTTGTTCTATTGCATTGGTCTGATAGTGCAAGTTGCCCACACATTGCTAGTTGTTGCTACAGAAAAGTACAAGCAATTGACGAAGTCAAAGAAGAATGTCAGTATGGAGAATTAAGCATCTGAATTGGTGATTACAGTCGAGTTGTGCCATTAGTCCCCTCCATTTAAACTGGCAAGAGTTCCTTTCCTCGGCCCACTATCACTTTTGTTAGTATTATCCTGATGGCACATGCATGGCGAAGGGGAGGATCCTGATGGTTTGTTCGGTGGGGGTGTTTGGTGGTTGTGTGGTTTAAACGTGTCAAGTGGATGTAGGTTTGATGATGGGCCCCTTGGCATTTACATGAATTTGCAAATTTTGAAGTAGATTTGTGCATAAGTTGGATAAAACGATTATTAGATCTTAGAAATGAAGAAATGTATTAATGCTAATAAGGGGGTGTTTCCACTTGGATTAAAAGTCGCGGATTAAGGCTTAATCCGTCGCATATGGAAACATCGCGCGGATTAGGACGGATTAGGCGGATTAAGGTTGGCGCGATTAGTTAGAGATTTCCGCCCGTATTCACGCGCTTCGCGGATTAACTATAGATTAATATGCTATGAAATGCGAGCATTCTTCCTATACTAAAAGCTCAAACTTGGTGAGAAAAATTTGCTACCTGGTGGCCACCAGGTATCAAACTGACAATCTCGGATTAACACTTTTCACGACGCCTCTTAAAAAGCCTGATTGATAGGTTAGAAGGTTATCCTTTATAAAGGCTGTAGATGTTTCTAGTTTTGTGGAAGCTTTGTGCTTCTTGTTCGGCATTATGCACCACACCGTGGGTGTCGTTCAAAGGTGCTGCAAAGTCTTCATGTTGATAATTGATAGTCTTTTAAATGTCTGCCAATACTCGAATTTGCATTTTATGCACGGAATGGCAAATGTCGTACTTCAATCCGTTTCTTAATCCAGACGTATGAAACACTCCGACGGATTAGCGGTGGATTGGCGCGGATTAAAAATACCTTAATCCGTGACTTTTAATCCAAGTGGAAACACCCCCTAACAATCACTAATTGGCAAAGCCCGTAGTGCCCATTCTTTCTCAGGGCGAGCAGCCCACAGTGGAACAACCCACCACCAACATCTTTGCACCGAATTTTGTAGCAAGAAATGCAAGGATGTCAGGAAGTAATCGTTATGATCTGGAGCATCACAGCAGAACCGTCTCTTTACTGTGTCGGCTTCCTTGAATCCGGAAAAAGGGCGGGAGCCCCCTGCATCCGTACAGGCCGGTAGCTAGGGCGGCACGTGTGACAATTAATGGGTAGTGTCAACGTGGTGGGAGCTGTGCTTGTTGCAGCAGTGCTGATGCTGTGGGAGGTATGCTTGTCAGAGCACGGGAGGCAGGAAGCCGGGGCTCATAACCTGTTGAAGAGACGGTGTCTCTCTGGCACCTAGCAGACACGGCTAAGAGTCATTCGCCGTTACACGCAGTCTGGAGGTCCACGACCTGCCACCGACAGCCCCTTGCTTGGGCGTAAGCGTATGAGGCTAAGGTGCCGTTACCGGCACACAGCAGGGGCTCGGCCGCCAAGTCCGCGGTCCAGGCTGGATGCTCAACGCTCAGCAGACACAATCGCAGCTTGCCAGCCTTCAGCCTGTTGGCTTTGCGGTCTGGTGCCACAGTCCAAACACACACGTAGGGTTGTTGAAATTATTAGAATTTCAGGCGTTCTCTACTAATTATAATATTATTTCTAATTAGAACGTTAGAAATAATATTAGAAGACCTGGGGTAACTTCTCAGGGAGGGGGACTTTTCACTTCGGAGTTTCACCATGGTTACGGCAGATGCTAACCCAGGTGTTTTTAACGGTTTTTACGGGGCTACGACACCCGTAAGCAGGACTTCTCAGCCAAACCCCCGGTCGAAGTGACCTCTGGGTCACTAATTTCACCTTTAAACTGTCTTAGACTGTCTTAAACTGTCTTTGCGTACGCCTTCCCAACATCTTTGGTACCTGAACCAAGAGTCCAAGAGTCCAGTCCTAATTGTGGGGTACCACCCAACGCAACGCGGCTCCGCCAACCGTCACTGGCAATACACGCAAGCCCCTCCCCAGCCGCACACTCTTTCTCAACCTCAGAGACTGTTTCCGCGTGCGCCTCGTCAAGCATAGTGGTTACTAGTTTCCAGCGGCCAGGCAGTGTGACCCCCAGGGCAGTGCAGGCCTGAACAAGGTAGGGGTTCTCGATAAGGTGAAGGGCGATGTTGGTGGTGTAGAAGAACAAGGCCAGATTCTTCAGGAAGACGTATATCTGGTTGGCAGATGGCATGAAAAGCCGCATGGACGGAGTGGGCGTGCCGTCATATGAGCGAGACCTTTTCGCGCCGGACGGCACTGCAGGTGTGGCGCCCTCCGCCTCACTGCCCTCCTGCGCCTTGTCTGCTGCCTTGTTGTGCTTCTTAAGATGGTTGGGAGCTGTTGCAGACGGATTTTTGGCACCCAGCACCTCGCCGCAAATGGTGCACTTCAGCTTCACGACTCTTTCTGTCAAGATCACGGTGAAAAACGACCACCAGGAAGCACTGCCTCTTGCTTTTGCACTCTTCAGGGCTTCCGCGTAGGCTGGAGCGTCTAGCTCCTTGTTGCCATAAGTGTATGTTGCTTTAGGAGTCTTCGAAACTGGTGGTTTTGATGGCCCAGCATCAGCATCAGCTATTTTTCCTAGAAAAATGTGCCGTTGCAGGCTGCGGAGGCGGCCTGAATAGCCATTCTAATGGGTGTACGACATTAGAACGTTCTAATCTGTTCTCAAGGGGTCTTCTAACTTTCTCATTAGAATTCTAATTAGTTTAATTGTAATATTATTTGTAATTTCTAATGCACCAACAACCATAGCCATAAGTCGCCCCAAATGCCTTCTGCACATATGGTGCAGCGGTGGTGTTGATGGTGCCGACAGTGTACATATATATAACTTTGCCTTCGCGTGCTCACGATGTTTATGGACAGTCAAAGTGGCTCCGCGCCCTGCTCACAGAGACACTGGCGCAAATGCAGTTAGGTGCACAGAACGATGGTGGTACCGCATGTGTGTTTCCAGACGTCAGGTGTTGTTTACAGCACACCGTAAGGCCTTTAAGGACTATACAAATAGGAATAGTAACCGCAAGAAACACTCGGTTTATTACTCTAGGGTACTAGGCCCAAAACGAAAAAAAACACTGGCTACCACCCGAGCAGCGGTGGACTTCCAGCATTTTTTTTGCGGAATATATTCCGAATTCGGAGTAAAAAAATTGTTCGCGGTCCTGAAAATTAAAAATAATTAATGTTCCGACCGTAAAAGTTCAATCCTCCAGCCAAAAATGGACTGTTTATGCCAACGCCGCTAGAATCTTACAGGAGACATACATGTTAACCATATCATAGTACTTTAATGCCATGGATACTGTTAGGAAGGTCACGCCCGAAAGTCAACGAGGAATTGGACTGTTTCTGACCGGACCAAACGCTGTAAAATATTCGGACCCGAAAACGTGGAAGGCCATTAAAGAAGATATTAAACCTCACTGAAGTCCAGGACTTCCCGACTCTCCGCCGCCGCCACTGCTGCTGCTGTAGGGGGGCGGGGCCGTTACTGACCGGGGCCAGCGGCGTGTGCAGGGACTGCCGTTGACTGCGGGTGTTGGGGCGAAAGGGTGCTGTTGGGGTCGCCGGGGGCATTGCGGCCGCTGGGGTCGGCAGCATGGCGGGCGGTGTAGAGCTGTTAGAAGGCATATTAATCAAAAAGGTTTGGCGGTTGCTTGAGTTTGCGGACCCGATCATTCAAGCGGCCAACGAAGTACTTGTGCGGCGTGGAGCAACTGGGGGTGTTTCCACTTAGATTCAAATTCGCGGATTAAGGCTTAATCCGTCGCATATGGAAACATCGCGCGGATTAGGGCGGATTAGGCGGATTAAGGTTGGCGCGATTAGTTCGAGATTTCCGCGACTTTTAATCCAAGTGGAAGCACCCCCTTAGCAGCTGCCAAACCAGACTGACGGCGCGTGGCTCGGAGCTACATGCGCGCTGATATATTTGGAGTGCCATTCTTTGCTGCATTTGCGTTTTTGGGCGAGGCCCCGGGCGCGAAGCGCCATTCGGGGGGCCGAGCCCCCTAGGTTCACTGCTGTCCGTCCGTCCGTCCGTCCGTCCGTCCGTCCGTTAGTCAGTCAGTCAGTCAGTCATGGTGTAACATTTCATCATATTTCGCCCCGATTAAACTTGCGTCTGAAAGCCAATCTAAATCTCTATTGATAGACCAAGGGAATGAATTCAGATATATCTGTGGGCGAAGATGGCTGTCCAGGGTGAGATCAATTTCCATATCTCACTCCGCTAAAGATTGCATGTAAAAGCTACATCAATTATTTATCGGTTGGCCAAAGGAGAACATTCAAATACATCAGAGCGCGAAGATAGCTTTCAATGGCTTCGAGTTTGATTTCCCCTCACACCGCAGCCCTTGCCTCTGACGTCGTTGCATGTCCCTTACATTATAGATTCATAAGCAAACGGCATGATCCTTTATGGTTTGGTTCGTTCATGCTCGGCAACTTTAGACCGACCCATGGCACACTCTAAGCACCTCCCTCCTGGCGTCTCGCTCGTGCCTGTTTGATTGTTGTCCTTCTTATTCTCTTCTTCATTCATTCAATCCAAGTTCAAACGAAGTGTGCCTTTGCGACACACCATCAGCTTTGCCGCTGCATTCCGACTTCAAAATGTGTAATTGGAACGATCCCCGAATGTGTTCTGGCTGGGAGCGGACAACAATTGGTCCATGAAACACGGGCAGTTTGACGCGCCTTGAACTGCCAGCCAGCAGAAGGGCCGGCGTCGAACATGGATGCGACGGTAGTACCACCTACGTATCGGGCAGTCCCGACTCATGGATTTGGCGCAGCAGCGGCAACACACGTTGCAGCAATGACACTCCTGCTTTGTGTGTATGTCGTTCTACGGATTGAGAAGGCTACCTGTTCAGTCAATAATGATTATGCTATGGCGGCTGCGCGCTTGCGACGATCCAGACAGGTCTACACCGCCGTCGCAAGTCTGCCGACCTTTATTGTTTGAGGATTTCAATAACATGTGTGTACTCCAAACGTGGCGGCGTTCTTCTCTTATGCCGTACGGACTGGCCTGCGGGGGGGTCAAGTAGCTGCACCGGGGCCGAGCCCCTTTTCGGCTTTGAAAAGCCGCCCCTCTAGTCAAACTTGCTTTCCCGTTGAATCTCTTGCAAACCTATGGGTTTGTTTGGCGTCGTCTCCTTTATCTTCCGGTGTAAACCTTCATCGAATAGGGATATGCTAATTACTTGACATACACCACCACACTGCCAAGCTTCGACGTGCGTTTTGAAATGACCATGGTCCCGCAATTCAGTTGGCTAGGGTGACTGGATGTGGGTGCCCCGAAATACCGAGGAAGGCAGGGTATCGCCAGTTAGCGGCCACGGGTGAAGATACGAGCCCCCTGTCCCACACATTCGAAGTGTAGACTGAGCCCATGACGAAATTTGGTGGGGCTCCGAATCCATCCAGGCAAACCCCCCACCTTCTGCCGTCCAGCCAATTTTATCAAACCCACAACTTCTGCCATACGACAGCGAAAGTCATTTATTGTGAAATTTGAGATTTTTTGTTCAAGCCCTTTCGCTTTGGAGTGTGAGGCTGGAAATTGCGTCCTTTCAATTGCCCCCAAAAAAGTATATTCAGCCCCCGATCCCACAGAAATTATCCTTGACTCTCAGCCGATGTCGGGCTCTGCAGACCGGGCAAGTTAGGAACTAATGCTTCCTCCAGTCGCCAACTGGAGCCAGTTCCTTTTCAAGCGGTATTGTAAAGCTGTGCAGCTCAAGCTTGAAGTTGCTCGCATAAGGAATGCATACGACAGTTGCCTGTTTGTACCGGAACAGCAGTAACCTAAGTAATACTGAGTTTACATGCTACGTTACGTTAACAGGGTGTCTCCACGTGGACGTTTGTTAGCGACCCTTTTAAAAATTCTCACCCTGGACGTCAGATTTGCACGTTCTGTTTCGCAATATCACATATTCTATATAAATAAATGATAGAAATGCAAAAGGTTTGACGGAAGGCGGAGGGATGGCGAAGAACGGGGGGCCCATGTGGAGACAAGGCCCTTGTTAAACGTCCTATTAGCCCGGACCCGGTCTGCCCGGAAAAGTTGTAGGCTGCCCCGGACCAGCTTTAAGCATTGTTAACTTTGAGCGCGGAAAATCTCGTGACTTCTTTTTAAATTATAATATCACCCGGTCTTTCCTTTGCTTTCCGTCTACTACCTTGACTGCTTGCCGACTTTCGCCGTTGCCGTTGACCAAGAATGTCGCAGAACCAGTCGCCCTCGCCGGTTCCGTCTCAGAACTGTCCTACTTCATTGCAAAATGCCTTAATGGCAACCATTCAACAGCCAATGCTGAGTCCGCTGCCCCGACTGTTCAGCGTTGCCGATGTCCATGCTGCTACCCAGGCCGCTCAGAATGGGCAACAACCCAACGGCAATTTGCAGGACAACTGCCCTCCTCATTTCTCTTTAATGTTCAAAAAAAATTTGCTCAAGCAGGAGCGAAATGGCGCTAAAAGACGGGAAAAGTATGGTTTCGGGGCTGCTAGTGGAGACAGTACTTTGTTAGGCATTGTTAGCCATTGTTAGCGCGCCAGTAACTTTTCCGGAGATAGTTAACAGACGTCCACGTGGAGACACCCTGTAAAACGGATAATTACGACCTTTTGGGTTATTTCTCACTATTACATCTCACAATTACAAAACCAGAAATTTAGCAATTCCATAACCGTAAATAAAATTTTACGAGGGCACATGGAGCACCCGCCGGGAACCAGGGAACGGGAACCAAGGTGCATGCAGCTACCCTTCGTCTCAATTTGGCACAGGTAAACAGAGGGGCAAACGGAATCTTTGCACCGACCCTTGAAGCGTAGCCGCCAGTTAAAGTGAAAAGTCAGCGCACTGGCTTCGAAGCGATAGGGCTAAATTTGGCCGAGGGATGCACGCAAAGGAACTCGTCCTGACAGTAGTGTATCTTCGTGGGATCACAATGGCTGGAATAATCCCTGAGCAAGTCGTCAAACTGTGACTTCGTCTCGGGCAGCGTTATGACCGTTTGCAGAATGGACGACTTGCACATGTATCCTGCAGCCTTCAGCATCTGCATAACCTCCAGGTACTCGTACTTCCACGTTCCCAAAAGATAGTACGTCATCTCGAAAAAGACGTACAGGGGAGACTCTTTCGTGAATATCCGCCTTCCTGACAAGAAGGCAGCCGGCTCCCACCCCTCAACATCTACCTGCAATTCAGCACCAACAGAATTCGCTGCATTACAGCAAAACACCCTTCTCCTGGTGTCTATTTTTTCCGCGTCCATTGTGATCAGTGTAGGTGGGCATAAAGGGGAGTGGGCTTTGGAGGTATGTTTTCCGCAGGACAGCTCTTACGGCCGCCTCAACATTGGGTCCCATAGGGGTAACCTCTGGACATAAGCAGTAAGTGATTCCAGCTGGCAGAACATACCAGCAAGCCGATTGCAAAATGGTGACAGTTACTCGCCTTGACGTACAGTACGGGCTGGCGGACGACGTCGTCGAGCACCACCGCCTTGGTCGCGGCGTGCGACGGAACGGGTGCTGCATTTGAAACGTTCTTGGGGAGAGCTGTCCATCCGTCGAACTGGAAGTCCGCGGCCTTCGATACAATCCCCTCAAAAACTCGGACGCGGTTGGAAAAATCATTCAGGGCAATTGACATGTTCAAATATGCCAGGACTTCTTTGTTACCATCGAAAGCGAAAGCTTTGCAGCCAAAGGCTGCAGCGAGCAAGCTGTAGTATCCCACGTGGCTACCGACGTCCAGAACCAGCTGAGGGGCGCCTCTCTTTCCGCAATTGCGTGAAAAGATTTCGACTGCACCTCGGGTCTCTTCCGGACTCCACCGCCCTAGTGAGTTTAGGACGAAGGCAATGTGTCAAGCTACCAAGGTAAACCATGCTACTAAAAGTTGCCAGGGCTTACCGGTCTTCATAATAGCCTCAGGGACTTCAGGGGCTGTGACCTGGGCACACGTTCGCAAAAGGATGTACGCTTAACTGAGCCGTTCGGTGACCTCGGCCAGGCACGAATCGCTGGCCAGGCGCGAATTCCTGGCCAGGCGCGAATACTTCGCCCAATACAAGACAGCTTTGTCCATAAGTTCGATGACATTCATGGGTCTGAAGCTTTTTGTCCCAGACGCTTCGTGCCAGTGCTCCGCAGATCAACCCGCAGAAGCAGCCGCAGGCTCCCGGAAATTGGTTAGCATTAGCAAGTCAGAGCTGTCGGATTTTCAAGTTCACCTGGGATTCCCGGCGGGGCAACACCATCGCGTACGTTTTGCGGCCAAAGGAAAGGATCCGCACATTGACGCCGAACCCAACCTCGAAAACTTTGACTCCCCTGGCTTCCGCAACCTGGTTAGCCGCTTGATAAGCCAACCGGAAGGCGTCCTCGCTTTCCTTTTGGTGACATGATGCCGATGGGACTAACTCCAACCTGCCAAGAAGAACACCGAGCGCAAATCCTGCCGCACCTAGGAGAAAGAAGCACCAAGGTATCCTTTTCATGGTGTTAAATGCAACAACAGCGCTCAAAGGCAGTTTCACAGGAGGTCAAACGTCAACAGTAAAGGACACTGTTGGTTCGCTATCCACTGGACACCAAAGGACCTGCAGGATTCCAAGGGAAACAGAACATTGGAGGAAATATAAGTGATATCATGTTACGCTGTAAAAGGAATGAATATAACTTGTTCGTGAGGAGCCAAACAAAATTGGTTGTACAGTCCCCTGTGTCGCGTAACATCGAACTAGACGCAAGGCCACAACATAAAAAAAGTTTAACTTCATGTTACCGGAGAGAACGGTCCAAGCGAAATTGCACACGAGTCGAGGACGCCGAGGCGAGGTCGTGCCTATTTAGGCAGAATGCGATTTAAGCAGAATGCGAAGGCCACGAGCGCCGCGCAAATGGCAGCCTTCAAAAGCCTCCCGGCGAGGCCCTTAAAAGCCAGGAGCACGGGCTTTACGTATCTGCGTAGAATTCGCGTTCGCGCGAAATTCGCGCGGGAGGTGAAGCGGCTTAATGAACACATCCAAACGCGAAGGCCACGGCGGGCCGCGCAAAGGGCAGCCTTCAAAAGCCTCCTAGCGACGGGATACGCATCTGTGTGTGAAAGTCGCGGGCGTGCGGTGGCTTGGCCAGATTCGCTGCTGTGAGGACCGGCCAGCGGTTGCACACGCTCCTGCGAAACGCCACGGCGCGAAGTCGGGGGGGCGCGTCCGCATGTCCCTTGGCATTTAGGAGTCCACAGAACAATTGAACTTAAAGTGAAAAAATCGACAGCATTGAAAGGATAAAGATAAATAAAAGACATACACCAAGATAAAGGAAAGCTCGCGGCGACGAGGGAAGAAAGCAGCAAAATAAGAAGGCTCTTGATGGAATGAAATCAGACACTTCGCTAGCTTGGCTTGCTGAGAGGGTCGGCGAGTAGCAAGGGGCGGCCTTCACCGCATGGCCCTTCGTCCGACCCGATTGGAGCCCTACAACGTCGCGCGATTTCTTGTATAATCACCAAGCCGCATTAAACCTGGGCACATGCAGCTTCGGTCGGCGCGGCAGGCCGACGATTGCAGTGCGATGTTATCAAGACGCGCAACGGTTGCTGCATGTTGCTGGCGCGTTTTGCAGCGGCCGCATGATGTGACCTCGCACGGTGGCTTGCTACGTCATGCCGCTAACAGGACAGACGCGTTTTGGCGTTCACAGCTTGGTCAGGATCTATCTATATCCCAGCACAGATGCCGCCCAGCGCGGTGCCGCTCCTAGAGCGCCTCCACGTCCGTGCTGCTACACAAGTCCCCGGCACCTGTGGGTAACACTTCCACATACGCACACACGCCGGCGCCTCCTATGCTGCAGACTGCACACTACCATTCTAACCCTAAGGAAAGTTCGAGGTGACGCTGGAATCCTTCCTTATGCACGGCGAGTCACTACCGCCACCGTAAGCCGCAATAAACGCAGCCAGCTGCTTCACCAGAACCACCCGATGATTTAGCCGTCCGCTGTGTCTCCGGTGCAAATCAGCTATGTCAACCGCCGTAAAGCGCGTTGCAGTTGCATTCATTCTGACTTAGGGTTGTACAGCGAGAGACAATACGGCAGCAGCCGGATACAGACTTGTAGTGCCAGCTGCTGCGGTATTGTCGTGGCTATAGCTGGACCTCGGGAGAGAGTGCTGGGGTATGCTACGATATGCAGGCAGACGGACTGGAATTGTTGTTGTTGTTACATGGTCGTGGGTGCGTTCCCCGTACCTGCAAACCACCCTAATACGAGCCGAGGGCTCAAGGGCTGCCAGATCGCCTATAAGCACCATCCTACCTCGCACTTCAAACGAAGTGATGAAGGATACTAACGACCAAAGGGAACGATAGAGTTGCGGTGGGACCATATACGTTCCAGCATCCTTGCCATGCGTTCAGGATCCCACTTCATAGCGTCCTTCATGTCCTCGAAGCGTGGGAAATCCATATCAGATCTGATTTTGTCGTACACCGGACAGTCCAGCAAAATGTGCTTCTCATCCTCGATATGGCTATCAGTGCCGCAGCAAGGGCATACTCGCTCCTCCCTAGGTATATAACGCCGTCCCTTACGCGCTCTGTTAGCCGCCAATGCCCAACAGCAAAGCCTAAACTGCATAAGCTTGCGATTCGCTGGACGCGGGATAAAGTTGTGATATGCGGGAGCACCTCCTTCCTGCCCGCTTGTTCGGCCGCCAGACCCATCCAATGCTTATACTTCGCCATGTGAATTCCTGGTTGCTTGCCGTCTGACGGGTACACGTCAGGCTGGACATATAAACGCGTATGCTTCCAACCACGCACTAATCGGTCCTTGAACTCCAAAATTTGGCCTGTTCATCAGCCACTCCACTCGTTCGTCTACCTCATGTAGCCCTTGCGGGGCCTCTTTCCATACGTCGTGCCCCCCAAAAACATAGAAAACGGAGGAGAAGTGTCCCCCATCCGGCCCCTTCGGGGTTGGAGAGGGACTCTGCGACCTCCTGTCGCAAAACTTGGTGTGCCACAGACCCACGCTGTAAACAGACATGGTTCCAAAACCTCACAACATGCTTGAAAACGTGGTAGTGTAGGGGTAGCTGCGACAGCTCTGCAAACAGGAGGCGGTGTGTTGGTCTGGCAGCTCCTACAATTTGTCGCATGAAAGATATCTGAAGCTGCACCGCTCTGTCCTTTAGGCATGCCTCAAAGGGCCCCTCCGCAAAGTTACTCGCATCACTCCGCCTCCTGAGCCTGTCCAAGACCTCAGCTAGCATAAACGGCCCCCACGCTTGGCAACCATACAACAGTATTGCTCGTACCTGCGTATCGAAACACCTCATCCTCACATCTGGGGCGAACAACTTTAGCTTATCTAATTTTGCACTCAACGCGAACATAGCTGCTCTAGCTGTGTCATACAACTGCTGACGGCAGGCCCAGAACTGCCGTTCCGGCCCATACACTAACCCCAGATATCGTGCGCTGTCCTTAGCCGGTATGGCCTCTCCAGACTGGAATTAAGAGGTCCCGTAGGTTATACCCATGCTCAGTCTCGAGGCCGTCCTTCCTGCTGCTGATTTCCCACCTGCTGCTGGTGTCCCACCTGTTTCTCTCCCTCTCCCTCCGCCTCCTCCTCTTCTGACCATACCCGCACTTGCTGTTCGTGCAGTTGGCCTTGTTGCTGACTGTAGCCCCTGTGGGGTAAAGGACGATATTTGGACCGGAGGCCCGCGCTATCATGGAATCATACATAAATGTAAACAAGATTTTTTTGTCCAGGACGCATGTGAATGTCTGCACTTTTTGGGCGGGCCCCAGCACGAAGCGCCCAGGGGCCCCCCGCCATGTAGGATTGCCCATGTCCGTGTGGCCGTGTGTTTGTCTCTCTAACGGACCAAACATAATATCCCGCCTGGCGGAAACGCGTTATTGATAATATATTGCATTCTGTATTGCAAGGTATCTCGCCTGTAGCCAACAAAAATCCTATGAGCACAAACAAGTTTGGCTGCCGAGGTCAAAGTCACATCAACGCCTCTCGGGCTAAGTGTAATCTGAAAAGGTGCCGCGTATCTCAATTGAATTCTGAGATGACGGCGTATGAGAACTCGAACACCCAGCTTGTGTTACCATTTGCCCGCACGGGCACTCCGACTTGCCATCAGCAGGCCGACAGATTTGCTTTCATTTCTCTATGAAGTACGCAAGCTGTTCGTTTGCACAATTACTTTGGCCAATGCTCGGGGCCTCCGAAGACTTGCAGTGTGCCGCGATGAAGCTCGCGGCCGTGAGGGCCGATTGCTGAAGCCGCTGGCTCTCCGGGGATAAACATCACAGACAGCACCGGAAAGCTTGGGGAAGTGTGTCGAGCTAGGCATTGAGGGGGCCGCCAAGGGCGCGTGAGCAGGCGTCTGAATAGGCAGGTCAATGCCTGAAGGGGCGCCGTAGGCAGTGCATACGATGCTGTACGGCGCTGTTTTCCGTGTGTGTTCGGGCTGCGGCAGCAGACAGCAAAGCCAAAAGGCTGAGGGCCGGCAAGCTGCGATTGTGTCTGCTGACCGTTGAGCAGCCGGCCTGGACCGCGGACTTGGCGGCCGAGCCCCTGCTGTGTGCCGGTAACGGCACCTCAGACTCATACGTTTACACCCAAGCAAGGGGCTGTCGGTGGCAGGTCACGGACCTCCCGACTACGTGTAACGGCCAATGACTCTTAGCCGTGTCTGCTAGGTGCCAGAGAGACACCGTCTCTTCAACAGGTTATGAGCCCCGGCTTCCTGCCTCCCGCCCTCTGACAAGCATACCTCCCACAGCATCAGCACTGCTGCAACAAGCACAGCTCCCACCACGTTGACACAACCCATCAATTGTCACACGTGTCACCCTAGCTACCGGCCTGTACGGATGCAGGGGGCCCCCGCCCTTTTTCAGGCTTCGAGGAAGCCGACACAGCTCGTCCCCATAGGGATTACCGGAGCCAAGGCTTGTCGCTATATGAACTGGATGGGAGCGGCCCCGCCTAGGGGTGCCCGTCTCGATTGGTTAGGGCACACTAAAGTGACCATGCCCCAGCGTCTGCATCAAGTGCACATGCGTTTCCGGTTAGGCTGTTGGGGGTTAGAGTTTTTTAGGCCTAATGGGCGTGAGTGCACCATGCGTACCTGCAGGCTTTGTGACTGTGGAGCGGTTAAAGGTGAATTGCATGTTTTTGATGAATGCCCCGCTTACAAGAGCATACGGGTGTACGATGGTGACCTAGTCTTTGAGGGGCGCAGCATGCGCACCATTATGACTCAGGCGCCACCCCTGGCAATGGCCAGGTACCTCTCGGAAATCTGGGAGGCCAGGCAAGCGAACGAGGGATGATGATGATGATGGCCCCCCGCGTACCCGCATCAATACTAATATAACGTCCATGGCCCCCCCAGCTTGTACGGACACACGTGCACTCGCATGCGGAACTTGTAACTTCGGGCACTATCGCCGCCAGGCCATGAAACGGACTCGCCGCATGTTCAGGACACAAATAAAAAGTTAGCTGTAAATAAAGTCCTCTATC